GCTTACTGCTATGACTTGAAGTCCTTTGAGATGAGAGTCTGAATGTCAACTTTAGTGTTCAGGTCATGAGCCAATAAATTACTCTCTCTTGGAAATTATTGTACATTTGTACAATTTAGAAATATAGGTGGATGATTGAAGTTAATTGTACATTTGCACACTTTAGAAATATAGACAGATGATTGAAGTTATTGTACATATGCACAATTTAGAAATATAGATAGATGATTGAAGTTATTGTACATTTGCACACTTTAGAAATATAGACAGATGATTGAAGTTATTGTACATTTGCGCAATTCATAAATATAGATAGATGATTGAAGTTATTGTACATTTGCACACTTTAGAAATATAGACAGATGATTGAAGTTATTGTACATTTGCACACTTTAGAAATATAGACAGATGATTGAAGTTATTGTACATATGCACAATTTAGAAATATAGATAGATGATTGAAGTTATTGTACATTTGCACACTTTAGAAATATAGACAGATGATTGAAGTTATTGTACATTTGCACAATTCATAAATATAGATAGATGATTGAAGTTATTGTACATTTGCACACTTTAGAAATATAGACAGATGATTGAAGTTATTGTACATATGCACAATTTAGAAATATAGATAGATGATTGAAGTTATTGTACATTTGCACACTTTAGAAATATAGACAGATGATTGAAGTTATTGTACATTTGCGGTTAGTTTGAGGTTAGTTTGTCTTTTTATTAATCTATTCTCACATGTATGAAAATTTTGTGTTGGGTTACTTAGGAGAGGGGAGTAAATGGACAATTTGAATGTGAAAAATGTTGATTTTCAAAGTTAATGACAAATCAGCATTTTTAGATTTTGTCCCACGGGAGTTGGGAGTTAACCAAAATAAAATAAATGACCAGTTTTTTACAATCTGTTAACATTATGATGTCATTATTCCTCATGAAAAACTGAAAAAATGAATTCAAAGAAAATACTAATTTTTACATTTTTTTTAACACCAATATATCTTTATGATAAACATTTACTTCATAATCTCTTAAATTCTGTACTTTTACCAGAATTTTAATTCCCAATTCAAACTCATAACAAAATTGAACTTGATGTTTCAGTTCATGGTTGTCGAAGTTAAGTTGATTAATTAGCTCCTTGTGAATACATAAATTATATTTGGTAGCACTCGTGTATGACTGGTGGGGTGAGATATTGAAATTGATCAGTCCCCAAAGAGTGGCTCACTCTTGCAGATCAAAGTGTTATTACTCTTTCCGATGAATTACGATTGCATTTCTATTGTCTTAAAGGATATTGCCATAGTAACGCCTGGAGATGCATGTGCAATTGAATTACACAAATCTTTGTGATATTTGAGAGAAATGGACGCAGAATAGGCAAAACATTTTTTAATTGAATTACATGTAGATTCATATTTGTCCTTTCTGCTGTCTCGCTGCTATAATTTTAAATTAGATAAAAGATATCGACAGAGTCTAATTCCTTTGGTATATAGTAAAAATGTACTTTAGTTTTATTATATCAGTTTGGTTTCTTTATAGAAAACAATAAGAAATCTTAATGTTAGTCCAATTCCTGCAAGTTAAAACAAATCAGCTAATGGTAATAAATACATAATTAAGCAAAATGATTAAGTAGAATGAACATACCCTGCAAACTGCATGCAGAGTCTAGTTATAAACTACCTTAAGACAAAGCTCTCTTTTTAAGAAGCGAGTGGAACGAATGCAAAGTAGAACGAATGCAAAGGGTAGAGTGAACATAAAGTGCAATGGAGAGTTGTCTGTATGTTAAAATAAATTAAGATATAGAGGTCAATAGAAGTGACTCTTTCAAGATGAAATAGCAATGATTCCATGTACATTTTACTTCTATTATGGAGAAAATCACAGAGTCAGGTGTTTGATAAAAAAAAAAATGCTATTCTCCATTCAAGTTTTACCTATTTCAGATTGTTTTAAAATCCCCAAAACTATTTTATTCCGGTTTTGGCTTAAAATGGTGTTAAAATCCCTGAAAATCAAGTGTTTCATTCTGGTTTTGACTTTACATTATATTAAATTGCGAGAAAATCAATTGAACATTGTTTCATTTCCAGATTTGAGGAAACAATATTTGATATTTACATGACTAAGGTGACATTAGAACTCAATTTCTGTAATTAATCTTTCTTCTCCAAGAATAATCTGACACAGCTAAAGAAAATTAATTATTGACTGATAGGCTGTGATTATGACTAGTCAGATAATATGTACTGACACCTTATGAAATCCAGATACCCATTAACAGATCATTGGCTTCAATTGTGCATAGTCAGGCCTGTAGCCATTGGGTGGGGGGGGCAGGCAGCCCCCCCCCCCCGGCCCAAAATTCTTAAAGAATGTGCATTTTTCACCACTCTAAGCATTTGTGCTCTCAAGTGATTTAGGGCCAAAATACTCAAAAGTGAACCCCCCCCCCTCTGGACCTTTTCAAAGGTGGACCCCCCCCCCAGCTGATGAATCAGTTGGTATTGAGTATTCCAAAAGGTGTCAAGAAAGCATTGGCAATAACAGTACTCTTACGTGCTAGAAAAAAGCAATAATTGGTCATAAAAATGTGCTGAATTGCCTCATAAAATGAAATTAGAGAATCAAAGGACTAAGAATGATTGAAAACCTGTGAACTCTTGTTTTATTATTTTAGTACTGTTGTCATATGGGGCCTTTAGTTTGCAGACATGTTATATAGTTATTTATGAGTAATATAAAATGAGTACAGTAAAACCTGTTAAGTGGAACACCTCGGATAGTGGAACATCTCTGTAAGGAGAACACCTACACAAGTGGAACACTTTCAGAATCCCATGACGTTAGAGTGGAACATTTTAGAAGTACCAAAGGTGTTCCACTTACACAGGTCTCACTGTATTATAAAATTCTCTGCTTTAGTACAATACCTAGATCTTATTCTTAATCACTGATTATCTTATTACAGCCAGTATAGATCTGGAAAACAAATCTTGTAATTAGTAGTATTGTTTAGATTTAATATGAAGAGCAAACAGTCTAAATCAAATCATCAAAATATCTGAGAACAATATCCGATGAAAACTGTCATGCATGACCTTTATCTCATATTTGTAAAGTATAAACAAATAACTTTTTCCCTGAGGATTAAATAGCTAATTATCTGAATTTAATTGATTTGTCTAACAATGTGTAAACAAAAGGGGGCAACCAGGGACTCGATCAATGTTTTATCCTAAAATGTGATTAAACTTCATTATCCCAACGAACGAAGTTCGTTAGGGATATAGTGAAGCCCTCCGTCCGTCCTTCCGTCCGTCCGTCCGTCCGTCCGTCCGTCCGTCTGTCCGTCAGTCCGTCAGTCAGTCAGTCAGTCAGTCAGTCAGTCCGTCCGTCTGTCCGGAAGATAACTCAAATACTAGTTGACAGATTTTCTTCATATTTAGTGGAAAGATGTATATTGGTGAATAGTTTTACGCAAAAAAAAATTTTTTCAAGATGGCCGCCGCTTTAAAAATTTTCATTCTAAACCAAAGTAATTAATATTATTGTTTGAAATTTTGGTAGTGTATTCACAACATTTATCTATTTCACATATATTCCGTGTTTTTCATCCTGACCCCCAGGGGCCATGTATGGGGGGACAGGAAAACAAATTTTCGCTTATTTTTAGATCTTTCTGAAGTATAGCTTTATTATACTCAAATGAAAGGCAATTAAGAGTAGATTGCAAATATTGTATCTTTTTTCTGATTCGAGCCTCGTAAAATTCAAAATGGCCGTCTAATGTACGATTTCGCAATAATTTTTCGATCCCTTCAAAGTATGGCTATATTATACTCAAATTAAAGGAATTTTAAAGTAGATCACAATTATGGTATTATTTTTCAGATTTGTACCTCAGAAAATTCAAAATGGCTGCTTTGCAGGAATTTGCAATTCTAAAATCTAATTTTTTCATTTTCAACCAAAGTAATGAGTATAATTGATTGGAATTCGGTAATTGATATTTTGTTCGTTGGGATTTGCTACTCCGCGGAGTTGCCGTTATCTAGTTTCGGATTTATATCTACCCTTCACCAATTAACATTGATTTTCCCTTGATTCTCTCAGAAATATAATTTAGGGTTACAGGCAATCGTTATGTGTTGACCTCACCCCTTGAAATCGTGAGGCTGTGATCTATTAAAACAAACAACATAGTTATTTGTAGTGCTTATATCATAGACATTCATTGGAGAAATACCTTTTTAGTCTTGATTGGTTTTCAAGTCACCACCAAAAGTGGTGACATATTGTTACGGTCTCTATTTTTTGTGACAACATCCGCCAGTCTGTGTCTGTATCAAATTTTTTAATAGTTACGATTTACATTCATGTTCTTGAAATGCATCAAATTAATTGGAAATTTAATTTGGCTTTGGCGCAGTTCATTATTTTCAGGTTTAAGTTACTGTTGATTCATAAACATTAATTCTACAATCACTCATTAACGTATTATTGTGTAGTTATACTCGTATAATTCTGAACTACATGTACATGTATAATGTTTTTACTACAGCTTCAAGAGTCTAGTTTTCACATTGTCACTAAAATCATAATAATTTTGTATGGCCTCCATTTTATTTTAACAGCAGTCCGTGTTTTATGTTCTGTATCAGTCTGTAACAATTGTTACACTTTTGTAACCATTTGCAATGATTTTACATTGCTGTTTTAGATCTTATTTGGTGATATTGTACCTACATTGTATTCATACTATATTCATGGAAATTCATACAAACCTGAGCAACGACATGTGCTTAAGTTGCCCGCATATTTTTTGTACATTCCAGGATGACATGCTAACAGAAGCAACGACATGTACCTATTTGTCCGCGTCAGCCATCATGCCTGTTAAAGTGTTAAGTCACACTTATTTGCCCATATGTAAACTCTCTATCAATCATGTATATTTTTGTACATTCCAGGATGTCATGCTAACAGGAGCAACGACATGCACCCAGTCACCTGTATCCATCACAATGCCTGGTTTAGCCACACCTACTTCTTCTATTCCTCCAGTGACGATCCCCAACATGACGCTAGGCAACAGTGTCTTACATGGGGGCGCAATCACAGACCATTTGTTTGCTCCAGGTCTAGTCCACAATGAAACTTCACATGTCAGCGAAGTTCTTAAAGATCTGCCAGGTATGTTTTTATATAACGTATTTCGTACGTATACTGTATACTTCATACAGTAAATCCTTTCTAAATCAAATACATGTACAGTAAAACCAAAGTGGATTTCCTTTGGTATCTCTAATTAGTGTTTCACTTGGGAGGTGTTCTACCTATAGAGGTTCATTTAACATTAAGTCAGTTGGTCTTGGGACTCGGAAAAGTGTTCCCTTAACAGAGGTGTTCCCCTAGTTTTCACTGTACCACTAAAATGTGTGTAAAGTGTTTTGATTAAAGCAAGTGTCAAAGGGAAAATAACAAGAAAATCAAATTGGACTGAAAAGATGTTCATATTGAGTCTTGTTAGCTCCTAAGTTGAAAAACTGTATTTTGATTGGCCAAAGAGCAGTCAACAGATTGCTAGTTAATAATGTTTTGGAATGACAATAATTACGCAACAAAAAGTTTAAGAATGATGAACATTAATGAAATATTAGTTTTTGGAGTTAGTTAGACCTAGACTTAATTATCTGTGAACTGTCAAATAATATTCTTTTAATGTTCTTCATTTTTAAAGACTACTCCCTTTGGATGACTGTTGACCTCTGGATAGGTCAATAATTATATGTAGCAAAATCCTATGTCATTTCTGTACTAGAAAAACTAGCCCAGGTAATTGTAGTAACACTACAATGTAAGCCACAAGTGAGATTATAGAGATCAGATAATGTCAGTCAAGGAAAAAACTTGTTATGCAAATCAATCATATTCTCGGGCTAATTTTAAACTTTTTATGTGCCTAGTCTCAGAGGAAATGTCAATGTAGTATCGTTTTTCTAACTTGTAACACAGCGAAACTACTAATTTAGAGAAAGCTTACAATTGACATTTTTTCTAGTTATTCCAATTAATGAGTACTTAGTTTAATCATTTGTAATCCCCGGTAGTTGAAAAGGTCATCATCCACTCCATTTACAAGTCTCAATAAGGTATTTGGAGCACTTCACCTGCAGAATGAGTCTGTTTATCCCTAATAAGCATTCAATCTGATTTGTATCTATCTCAGTATAACACTATAACAAATTGGCAATGAACTCACAATTTTTTAACATGGCACCTTTTGAGGTAGATCCCAGCTATGGCATTAATGGTTGAGAAATAGGGATCGAAACCAGCCATTAAGTTTTCTCCTGATGACCATTGTGAATTGTTGTGTTTTATGGATTATGATGATGGCTTTGTGAACAGATGTTGACCCTTTGAATTGCCTATGGACTTCGAGACTGGATTTTATCTATCCCACATCATTTGAGACTGAATACTCTTTTTTATGAGTACTAGTATCTACAACTATTTTTATCGCACTTTGAAAAAGTGCTATATTGTCGTCGTCTTGTGCTGTTGGGCGGGTGGGCGGGCGGGCGGGCGGGCGGGACATAAACCAAATCTTGTCATCAAAGTTCCAGGATAACTGCTTACCTGTTCAACTTGAAATTTTTACAGATGCAAGAGCAGACTAGTACCAAGATCTGATTAGGTTAAGAGCATGCTGGGTAAACTACTTGGCGGCCATTTTGAATTTTTCAACAAATCTTGTCATCAAAATTCCAGGAAAACCACTTATCCGTTCAACTTGAAATTTTTACAGATGCAAGAGCAGACTATTGCCAAGATCTGATTAGGTTTTGGGTATGCTGGCTGAATTACATGGTGGCCATTTTGAATTTTTCAATTTGGCGGCCATTTTGAATTTTTCAACTTGCTCCAAATAGACCAAATTTTTTTTTAAAAAACATCTACAAGTTCTCAGAAGTTCAAATCTGACCTTAGATTTCAGATTTGACCTTTCGTTCACCTTCAGTGACCTTGAAAAGGTCAAAAAAGTTGATTTTCTAAATTGTTAATTGGATTTAAATTTAGGTCAGCTTAATTACAAAACACCTACTGAGGTCTGAAAAAGTGAAATTTTCAAGGTCGAAGGTCAAGGTCATTAAACTAGGTCACAAATGATGTTATCCAAGTTTCTCAAAGTTTGAGACTACAAATCAATTCTTGTCATCAAAATTCCAAGAAAACCGCTAACTTGTTCAACTTGAAATTTTTACACATGCAATAGCAGACTAGTGCCAAGATCTGATTAGGTTTAGGGCATGCTGGGTAAACTAGGTGGCGGCCATTTTGAATTTTTCAACAAATCTTGTCATCAAAATTCCAGGAAAACCACTTATCCGTTCAACTTGAAATTTTTACAGATGCAAGAGCAGACTATTGCCAAGATCTGATTAGGTTTTGGGTATGCTGCCTGAATTACATGGTGGCCATTTTGAATTTTTCAATTTGGCGGCCATTTTGAATTTTTCAACTTGCTCCAAATTGACCAATTTTTTTTTTCAAAAACATCTACAAGTTCTCAGAAGTTCAAATCTGACCTTAGATTTCAGATTTTACCTTTCGTTCACCTTTAGTGACCTTGAAAAGGTCAAAAAGTTGATTTTCTAAATTGATATTTTGGATTTAAATTTAGGTCAGCTTAATTACAAAACACCTACTGAGGTCTGAAAAAGTGAAATTTTCAAGGTCGAAGGTCATCAAATTAGGTCACAAACAATGTTATCTAAATTTTCCAAAGTTCAAGACTACAAATAAATTCTTGTCATCAAAATTGCAGGAAAACCGCTAACCTTGTCAACTTGAAATGTTTACAGATGCAAGAGCAGACTAGTGCCAAGGTCTGATTAGGTTTTGGCCATGCTGGGTAAATTGCATGGTGGCCAGTTTGCTCTTCAAAGTGCGATATTTATCACTGTGTGTCTTGTTGATGTTATGAGTTTTGGCTATCAATTTTTCAATTTTTTCTTCATCATGTATTGTAATGACTTCAGTATGAATGAAATGTCCCTTGGTGTTCTGGTCCCGGATTGTGATAGTGGTTCTCGATTGGAAGGGGAGGGGGATGTTAGACATTGTTTCTTTTCACGTTAGATCATGGTTTTGGGATCTTATGACAGATTTACACTTACAGTTTGCTTTTCTCATTGGGTTTCCTTAAAGTTTTTAGTCACCCTTCCCTTTTGGCATTTGTGCTTATATATTCAGGGAGTAGATACTGAAATTAAGTTAAGGACGGGGTTTTTCCAAGCAATAAAATCAAAATAGAGATTTGTAATAATAATTTTGTTCGCTTTAGTGATACTGTGTTCAAAATAACTGTCATCACTGGTTCCATCGTGAATTTTACTCCCATAGTAATATTAGACTGGTTGTTCACTGGGTTTCACTAGAATTTCCAACAACAGGCTAAATAAATGAAAACAACAGGCAAAATTAATGGAATCATGAATTTAACATGGAAAAGTTGAAAAGTCCCTAAAAACAACAGGCGATTTTGTGAAAACAACCGTTCAAAATCGCCTGTTGCCTGCTGCTTATGAAACCCCTGAATAGTAAATGTAACTCTGATTCTAAATGTTGCTTTCATGAAAGATAAATGTTGTTGCCATTGTGCTCTTATAGTTAATATTGCTCCCATCATGGAACTTGCTAAAGATCATGAATGTTGCTATCATGAAGAATATTGCTCCCATCCTCTCTCTCTCTTTTTTATTATTCTCTTGATATAACTGATTTTATATTTTATTTAGGGGCGCATAACTTGACATCGCAGCAAATCTTTAGTCAGTCACCTGTAGCAACACCCCAGTTTGTCATGGCAGGGGGCGCTGCACCAGGGACCCCAACAGCTATACCAGTGCAACAAATACTTATACCCGTATCAACAGGTAATGTAATACGATACATTTTTGAAATTGAATGATGAATTTTATTGCAGATGCAGATCTCTAAATTGAGAATATGGGCCCATTTGTCAAAGTAAAACCTCATTTTTATGTTCATTTTAGTGACTTTTATACTGTTATACACTTTTTTAATGTCAGTGAAGCCACATTCAGCATATTTTCCCTCGTCAAACACTTAGTTTTTGACAAATATGGAATAATAATATTCGTTAACATTTTCAGGAAATGGTACTCAACAGATTCTCAGTATTCCAGTTTCTATGGCAGCAGGAATAGGGGCCAATGGACAGATTCAACTTCTTACAACGTCAAATGGTCAAATTATTGCCACCAACTTAGCCAACCTCGCCACTGGCCTAATATCTGGGAACACTCCACCACTGAATGTTACACTGCCTACAGGTACAAAAAGATTTGATGCTCAAAAGTTTCACACCAAAGTCTACATTCACACTAAAGTCTCTACATGTCGAATATGTTATTTGATGACATATTGTTAATTTTTGTGAATGGTGTTCGGTGGTTGGTGTTTGGGGTTTGCGTCTGTAACAAATTCTTACAACTTTCAATAATTGATACATTTCTTCATGTTAATCCCTTGTATTCTTTGTTAATACCGCCTCACCAAACAGACTATCAAGAAAATTAATGTGAATTTAGCCATTGTATTTCCAAAACTGTATGCAAACAAATCATAATAGACTTACCTTCTCAAAATGACTAATCAAATAAAAATGGCTAAAATTTGAATTTTTAAGCTATGAACATCAGTAACATACTGTTATACCCCAAATCTTTGTAGACAGTGTCTGATGGGCAGTGTTTAGTGTCTGTAACAAATGGCAGGTAGTGACATATTGCATGCTAATGCCTTTTCCATGATTCTACATTATAAAGCCTTCACACCTGATTCAATGTTTTATAATGTCTAATTAACTGTTTTATTAATCCTTTGATGAAAGATATGAGGACTCTGATTATCTAGAGCATGACACAAGACATGCAATGTCTATTGATTCACTGTTTTGTAAAGGTTTGAATTCATCATCAAATGCTAATGTTACAACCTGGTCTATTAGGCTTACCTTTGTTGGTTCACTATGTCGTGTGATGGATGGTGTTCATGATGTACATCAAAAGGATATGTTAAAACACAATTTATTTCTGGTTTGTTCACAGTTTAGGCTGTAATAAAATTAGTGTATCTGACCGTAAAAAGGTATGGATCCTATGTAATCTAAAATTAATTATTTTCAGATGTATGTAATGATAGCAAATTTTTGCCAAAGGAGCTTATTATAGGGATATGTCTTATTCATTAATGCTTAGTACACCAGGGCTCTTGTTAGGCTTTCAGACTGTGGCGCAGCACCACAGTCTATTCAGCTCCCACCACAACTTATTGGTAAATCATGATTGTTTCCACACTCTAAACTTGACTGAATACACAATAATAACATGGTAAAAGGATAAAATATAACATAAATATGATTCATCACCATTGAACAGCCATGTTGGAGGTGTTTCCCCAACACCCTTAATATTTCCTGGTGAGATGGCTGTACTCTGTGTGATGGTCTTTGATTATTCTTTGGCATAAGGTTCAGTGATTTTGCTTGTAATTGGATAACAAATGGGACATTATAGCTTTCAGAATGGGGCAGTTAACATTGTTATGGGACATATTGTACAAGGTGCTCTCGGACTTCTGAGGCCATCTGTCCACTTCACCAAGATTCTGATCAAGAATTTCTTATAACAAAAGATTTCTGGCCAAAGTTGGCAATTTTGGGTCAAAGTTTAAGCAAAATTCTCATATTTTTGCAAATTTCAAAATTTACCCCCTTTTGAAAAAATAACAATACGTGTTCACTCATAAAAATGGCTACAAGCATGTAATGTGAATGCATACATCATTGGTTATGGCTTTCTATAATTTCAGCCCAGACTCGGACTACTGTAACTGAGGACGCAATCTCAGCAGCATCTCATGCCATAACCACAACCCCCCAGCAGATAGCAGCACCGCAGGCACAAGTAGCCACCCAACTGCCATCTATACCCCAGGTGATCACCAATGCACAGGGGCAAATTCTGGGCTTCGCACCACAGGTGAGTCACCTGCCTAAAGTTATAATAGCGCTAAAAGACTCTAATGGCACCGATTCTAATGACACCAAGTCTAATGACACCGAACCCATAACACCTATGGGTATTAAACTGAGAGATTTTGCTTTTTTCATCTCTGATTATTATTCAGTCTAAAAGGTTTTGTAAATGGTAAACATTAAACCATTTTGAAATTGATTTGTATAAGTGCTTGCTCAGGTTAAGTATATCAGGCTGCTGCATTGAGTAAAAGTAAAACCTGTCTAAGTGGAACACCTTTGGTACCTCTGAAAGGTGTTCCACTTGGAAGGTGTTCCACTTTTTGAGGTTCATTTTACATTAAGTCTGATTGGGCTTTGGACTCTGAAAAGTGCCTACTAACATAGGTGTTCCACTTCTAGAGGTGTTACACATGACAGGTTTCACTGCACTTCAATTGTAAGGAGACCATTGCATTTATGTTTTACATGTCCATATTCATATTCCATATATTCTGAGAAAAAATGTATAATCTTGAAACTCTACATACTCCCAGCTCTTGTATATATCAAATTTAGATGAGATTAATTCAGTTGAATTCATCAAATGAACTAATAGATAGATGGCACAGGCCCATAGCCAGCTTTTGCCAGGGGGGTTCACTTCAATCTGAAAAATTAGGGGGTTCACATTTGACAATTTTTGCCCAAAATCTGAAGCATGTGCCCTACCCAATAATTTCAATGCTAGGGAGACCACTGGTATGCAATACAATACAATGCAATACAATACAACACAATGCAATATAATACAATACAATCCAAACACAATCAGATGAATTATTATATGTTCTCTCTACCCCTGTAACCTCTCCTTTATTACAGTAATAATATCTCATACATTAAGTTTTTATTTCATGCGTAATTTATTTGATTCATTTCATAAAATTGATGTATGCTTGTCTTCTTGTTTGAGGTTTTGCACATTTTTGTAAGATATTGATTTTTAGTCTCATTTGAAATACTCTACATATGGACCTCTTGTTTTGAATGTGCATATCAATTTAGTTCTGCAATCTATTATAAATATTTAGATTTCTATATTATAAACCAAATAGTCTTGCTTCAAGCCATTCTGATTTCTCCTCCAGGAGAACTTGATGCAAGACTACAAACTCAAGAATCATGTAGAAAGTCATCATTGAAATCTTAGTCTTGCATTAAGCCCCTGTCTATCTCTCCAAACTTCAATGTCCCCTTAACTTTTCAAGTTAGGAGTTGGAGTAGGACAGATACTTGATGCAAAATTGAAATTAAATCAACATTATGTGAATGCTTTCTTTTTTTGTCATTGTAGTTGGTATTTTCACCAACAACAGTAAGTAAACATTGAGTTTGTTAGATTACATTTAAGTTACTGTTTTACTCAGTTCTTCTTTTCTCTTTTCTGTCATCTTTCAGTTCATCTATTTGTACTCGTAAATCATCCTTTTTATCACATTTAAGTTCAATTAGGATATAATTCAGACACATGGCAGGACAATAATAATTAAGGTGTGGTATTTAGATTTAACGATTGTTTAAACATATACCTGGTGTGGTCTGAGGCTATACTGTATATATTATCTAGATGTGAATATGTCTGCCGATAGGGACATGGATATTTAATAAGATAAATATGTCTGAGGTTTTTCTATCCAAAACATACCTTTTTGAAAATAAAATAAAAACAGTCAAAAAAGGAAATAAAAACATCTAACATATTTTTCTTATTCTTATCTACAGATAAAGGGGACATGTTCACATCTAATATTTGCATGCTGTTCCATGGTATTCCTAGTGTTTATCACATCAGTAGCTATTCACTCAGAGGTGGTGCAGTGTTTTGTTCCACCCACACTTGTGGTTTATTTTGAATAACCTATAACTAACCACTATTGGACTATGTGCAGGCTGAGGGATCTTCAGTATATTTTATTTTAAGTAGAAATGGTTATGGGTGATCAAGATTTGCAGATCCATGTTTAATGTAAGAACCTACCCATTGATGTAACATCATCAACCTCATTAATGAGGATTTTGCACTTTTTTCTTTGGGAGGTATAAACTAGAAAATTGGGAACTTGTAGAGCTTTCCTATACTGTCTGGTAATTTGATAGTTTCCTGATGAATTGAAGATGTTTTAGTTCATAGAATCACTTTTCCTGATTCACTTTTTACATTTTATATGACCCTACTCTTTATTTCACTGCAAATATTTGAAGAGATTTGAACTATATTAATCGTTTTTGTTCATAGATGACCTAATGTTCTATCGATGCCATTGTTTCTTTTTTTCTAGATGATGGCATCTTCACTGGGAGGAACAGCCACTTCAACCACCCCGTCAACGTTCCTTCAACCGACTACCACCACCCCCACCCTCAACTCCCTAGCAACCACAATGGAAGCACCCCGTCAGTTGCTACAGACAGTTCAGGTAACCAATCCCTTTGGTGACTTTCAACAGCATCACTGGCTTTTGCAATGTTTCTTTATAGAATTCCATGCACAGTGTGTTTTCTCTGTTTTATATTATTTCCATGTATGTAGTGATATTTGAACTCTTTATAGTATTTTGTATATAGCCTTTTTGACTGATTGTTAGTTGAACTGTAGATATATGAATTATATATAGTTTAGTCTAATATTTGAATATATCCAAAACTGCACCCCTATGATTGTTAGCCTGCACTTGCCAATTTTATAACTAACACCCTTCAATATTTATCATGTAAATTAATGACCAGACAATAATTAAACTGTGTTAATTGATTGTTTTATTGTTTTAAAATGATTTATGAAAAGAATTTTTGGGATTTCATGTTCTTGAAAATCTTGCCAAATTGAATGAATCACAATAAAACTTAATTGGTTAGGGATAGGGTACCAAAATAGTGTACAAGGGGTAGAGGTTTTCAAAACTATTCACATTTACTAGTACTTTAAAAAAATCAACATTTTTGAGATTCCTTCCTTGGACATTTGTGTAATTACGTTATGTCTATTGATACCTATATGAGCCCTCCAACATTGCCATTCCACTTTTGCCTCCATTTACTGTATTTGTTGTGTAGTGTAGTGTAGTGTTTTCTGTATTCACTATAGCAAGCAGCCAGTTCCAGCGTCTGTGTATCTCAACCCAGTCGTACCGTTCACCATACGAGCAGTACAACACCACAACGACCAGAACCTAGCGGGGCCTACAATCTCACAATCCAGAAAGAGGCTCCAAGTGCCGTCATCTCGTGGCCACATGTAGGCATAAGCACTTGTATTTGCACTGTTGTCGTATGCTTCACCATATGCTTTATGCAGTGGACCATGAATTGCTCCATGAATACTGTACACTATGGAACATTTCCCTTGCCTATCTCATTTACTAAAGGTTACACTATGGAACATTTCCCTTGCCTATCTCATTTACTAAAGGTTACACTATGGAACATTTCCCTTGCCTATCTCATTTACTAAAGGTTACACTATGGAACATTTCCCTTGCCTATCTCATTTACTAAAGGTTACACTATGGAACATTTCCCTTGCCTATCTCATTTACTAAAGGTTACACTATGGAACATTTTCCTTGCCTATCTCATTTACTAAACGTTTCATTGTGTTCGGATTTGATTTTTGAGATTTTTAATTCATTCAAATATGCATCTTGCAGCTTCGTATAGAATGTAAACAGTTAATGTGGTATGCATCACAGGTATTAACCAAATCTCATTATGCCAGTTTGTTAAGTGGTTTAATAAAGTATTCGGGTCGGATGCAGGTCTTAGCCAGGGGGGTTCAAAAATTCTCTCAAAATCATGCAGCCTTCACCATTTTGAGCACATCTAAATTTTCATGTGATTTTTGGTCAGAATTAATAAATTTGGATCCCCTGGAATTTTTTCAAAATTGAACCCCCTCATGGCCAAAGCTGGCTACAGACCTGAGATGTATTTACAAACTTTGCTGTATGATCAGAATACTGAAGGTATGAGAAGATCTGGTTTGTTACCGTATGCATGGAGAATGAGTCTGCATGAAATAACTATTATTTTTTTTTTTTTTTTTTTTTTTTTTTTTTTTTTAACTTTATGACATTTTGAAATATAATTTTTTTATATAGAATAAACACATCAACATCAAACAATTTAACAATACGTATACATGTCCATCACAGGTCATTCGCTTATTGCTCAGATTTCTATGACTTTGACTGTTTGTGTCCGAGCATGATGATGAAATTACAATTTGCCTACGTTAGCCTTACAGTCTTCATACTTGGGGGGCGTTTCAAAATCTCTATTTTCAACTTTGTTTGGAAAATACGGTTTCTCGATCAGATAAGGCTGTTATTCACCGGGAAGTAGTAGCATCATGGGATAAATACAGGTTATACAATGGGAGGGATGGGATATGAATTTTATTCTGAGGGAAGATATGATATTGGCCAAAGAAAGCATACTGAGTGCAGTGTCAATATGATATTTTTCGAGGAAAAATTCATATTCCATCATCCAATGATGGTGACATAAAATGAGACATTTAGATTTATCACTTAGCCTAACATTTATTAACAAGCTTTAAATAGAACGAATCAAGAGAAATACCCGGAAATAACTATTATGCTGTAACTCCTTTCCTGAATGTCCACACATAGCACAATTTTTTGATTTGTGCACTGTTCTGTATTTTCAATGACAAGATGTTAGTTGTGGTATAACAGCCTTCATATTCATTGTCTTGTGCTGTAAATGCTTGGATTGGTCCACCAGTCTTCTACATACATGTATATCAGTCTATTGCAATGTCCCCAAAAACATGGGGACAATTAATGTATAATGTATATTAGTCTGCTACACAGACCCCCAGAACATTGACAATTCACTGATATTATGTATAGATGATTTTCATATTGCAGTGCATTAGACTACATTAAATAATGCTGCTCTTTAATATGCTTGTACCAGTATAATTGGGCAGTGGACATTTCCATTGAACCCTCGCCATCTTTTGCTTCATTTAAAAAGCCAAAGTAAATTGGATAAATTGATGGCATCACCTGATATCCTTAGTAGCAATTTTTCTAAGCATAAATGGGATTGAATTATTGCTCATTTTGAAAAAAAATTAAAAATTTTGATTATAAACATAACTGACCGCACTTACAACCCATGACATCATCAATGTGGACAATATGTTTCATGTGGCAAAAATTGGCAACGTTTATTGGAAATTTCTCGTAAAACAAGTTCATCTGATGTATTATACATCAAATATGTGTAACTAATATGTTTTATGCACAGTTTTTAGTCTGCAAATGTGATATTTAGCAAAAATCTCAATGAATTCTAATTACTCCTTACTCCTCGACTTACTCCTTATTAATTTACATTTTAATTGTTTTTGCAGCTTCCCACCTCGGCAGTGCAACTCAGTCAAGCCTCACAGTCACACACAGTCCCTTCAACGCAGACAGCCAGCATGACACTAGCGCCACCTAACCAAACCATTCAACAATCAGCTGTCACCATGGCAACAGTAAGCGTGTCATCAACCATCAACTCAAATAGTCTCGTAAATAGTCTCCCACCAAATGTTAGTCAACTTTTGCCAAGTAAGTCGATATTTACATTTATTTATGTTCTTTTTATACTTATTACATTTTAAATCTTTTTATAAAATGTTTTAGTATAGAAGTGAACGTTAAAATTTATGCATGATCTTTCAAAATACTTTTGCCAAATGACAAAAAATTGTGATTGAAGTTCAAATTAAAATACATGTCATGAAATTCTGCCATTGATTTTTATTATTGGTGTATAATTTTGAAACATAAACTCTATCTCCACCAGGGGTAGAAGATTTTTGTAATTTGATGTTGTGTTTGTTGTTCTGTGTATTAAGCCTGTAAACACTACCCTAAATCACTAGTAAATCGCATGTCAAAACTACTACACCAATGCATTGCCAAATCACCCGATTCAGGCGATGGATTAGCAATTTCGAAGCAATGCAATTGTTCCTCATTGTGTGTGTCAGTATGTTGTAGCCTTATCCCTGTAACTTCAGACTGCACTCAGACCATTAGCACTCTCCAGGACTCCACAATAGTCGATGGGGTCAACTTAGATGAAATCAAAGAATTTGCACGTCAGTTTAAAATCCGAAGAATCTCACTGGGCCTGACTCAGACGCAGCTAGGGCAAGCCCTCAGTGCCCAGGAGGGCCCCTCATACAGCCAGAGTGCCATCTGCAGGTAATAAAACACACTAAATGATCACTCAGTAACTTTTCTTATTTTGACAGATACAGTGAGTAATTCTAGTGAAAGCACAACCGTGGACGGCATTAATCTCGATGAAATCAAAGAGTTCGCAAAACAGTTCAAAATTCGCAGGTTGTCTCTGGGGTTAACTCAGACTCAAGTCGGCCAAGCCTTGAGCGCTACCGAGGGCCCCGCATACAGCCAGTCAGCCATTTGCAGGTAACCATAGTAACCAACATGTCCGCCATAGGTTGTCTTGGTAGCGGTCAGATAGCGCGGTGTAGGACATTTATCTCTAGATACCTGCATGTGTTAGAGTCACCTCCTTGTTTGCTTTCATGTTGTATTTGCCATAATTAGCAGTACTTTCACTAGAAGCAGGGTGCGTTCTAAGGAATTCAGGCTTAATGGTCAAAATTGAATTCTGTACTTTTTGCTTTTTACCACACCCTCGTTAGAAATTAATTTTACTGAGTATGTATACTTTTCTTCTGTCTTGTTATATTTTTTTCATTTTTGCTGTACTGAGTATGTTGTGTACATATACATTGTAGTACACATTTATTTACCATTTGTATATTTAGATTATAGACTTTTGACTTTCTTTTTTATGATTATATATTTTGATTTGACTGTGTGTTTTGCTGTTATTTTTTGTTTACTTTTGTATTACTGTATTCCTGGAACTAGGGAGCCTATTGTTGTTAAAGTTGTCAAGAGTAATTTCTGGTATCACAAAACTTAAAACCAGATGATTTAAATTACTTCTCTGAAGAAAGTAACTTTTTAAAAACATCTTTTGGTCTTTGATATACCATGTTGAAATTGTTCTGAAAGTAATAGATTAAGAAATGGTTTCTCTCCATTTTGTTTTTATGTCACCATCACAAATATTGACGTATTGTTATGGTCTCCAAACTTTTCTGTGGATGGTGTCTGATGTTTGGCATTCATTGTCTGGCATTAGGCATCTGATATCTGTAACAAATGGCAGGTGGTGACATTATGCATGTTAATGCCTTGTCATGATTGCTATATTTTTATTACATTTGAACATTCATTACTCTGTAATGCTTCTACATTTATTTCATTTGAATTTTATTTACTTTCATGGTGAGTGACTGCATAAATTTCCGAATGCTTTCGAATGATATCAATAAAAAAGCCTCCTTATGGCATAGTAATAGAATGAGGGAAATGTGGGAGAAAATAAAATAAATTCTATGTCTACATTTCTACTGAATTTCTTCTAATTGAGTGCCCAATTTTTGCGTTTTTATACACTTTAGAATAGATTATGTGCTTGGTTGATCAAATACAGAATATTGACTCGTGCTTTCCTGCAGAACTGGACTTCATGCTTACACATGTATGTTAAGTATAAAATGTCATCTTTTTTTGGCCTTTTGATGCTATCTTTATTTTATTTAAAAGTTTCATTAGTTCAGTCTGCATGTTTGTGAACATTGTCTTTTGTTGATTCTTTGTGGAGTCAAAATGTTGATTTTATTCTTAATTATTCATATGTTTGTGAAATGCAGTCTTTTAAATTAAATCTATCTTCCTGCCTCTGCTTCCTTGTTAAACTTATAGTGCTGATTGAATGCCACTATTCATCTGTTTTGTCATGTCATGGTAATGTCATTTTAATCTTGCAGAAAGGTTTAATTCTACACCTGTTGTTCAAAGAGTTTCATTCTTAATAATCTTGGATCATATTACAAACTTAGCTTGCATTCACAAATTCAAAAAATGTCGACTGACTGGTTGTGATGATATTATTTATAGAATTTGTTATGATTATGACAGCAAGTGCATCTATAAGACAAACAAATGCCATTGAAATAATCCTATGAAGGAATAAAGATTACTGGCTTGTAGCTGTAACATTCTGAGTTATATGGAAATCGCAGATTATTCCAAAAATTATTCAAAAAGATAGATATGTAAAAAAGCATGAAGAGTGTGAGACAGAGAAACATTGTAAGCATGAAATTTTAATTTGGATACCAGTTTCGATTTTCCAATTTTATTAGCTTTGCAGGATAGTCTTTGGTCACTCCATCATCTTTTTATTATTTCTTGCCTCTGTCTTAATGTGATAAATGAGGGACACAGGGGTTTGATGCAAGACTAAATATTAGATAGGACCTCTGAGATTTCACTTGTGGCCTGATTAAGACAACCTGGTTGTTCACATGTTGTCCTACTTGGTCTTGCTGGGGCTCACATGGGGGTGATTACTTTTTGTATTTCCCCTTGGGAGCCCCACTGCTGCAAATTGTTTGCAACCTCACATTTGAACTGGAATTGTGTAATCTTGTTATTTTTTCATCATTTCAAAAATATGAACAAGAAGCAAATCCAGTTTTGCATTTTATTTTACTCTTTTGAGTAAATGTGTTCTTCATAACAACAAATAATAACAATTTTAAAGAAAGAAACATTATTTGATAAAAGTAAACTAAATTATAAAATATTTTCAATTATTACTTTAACGCAATGAACGATTTTACAACTACTATTTTTCCGTAGATGCCTGTACAAGAGTCTTTACATCTGAACATGATGTGTTTAAATTCAAATTTTCTGAGTGAGTTATTTGAATTTACCCTCCTTTTCAGGTTTGAAAAACTGGACATTACACCTAAAAGTGCACAGAAAATTAAACCCGTGCTGGAACGGTGGATGAGAGAAGCAGAAGAGAGATACAAAAATGGAATGCATAATCTCACAGAATTTATCGGCAGTGAGCCTTCTAAAAAGCGAAAAAGGAGGACGTCATTTACGCCACAAGCTCTAGAGTTTCTCAATGAGCATTTTGAAAGAAATACACATCCATCAGGTAACCGCTACCACCTATAGTCAATGTACTTAAAGATTTAAAGATCATTCAGTAATTAAAATGATGAAAATTTTCATGAATTTTGGTTAAAAGTTTCATAAGATAAAATTGTTGGAGGTTTAAAGAGAAAAACTATTCTTTCTAATTGACATTTCTATTATGTCTCCCCCAGTATGGTGTATTGTTAGTGCACTAGTGTGTATCTTTCCTTATACTGTTTTATCTGTGGTATTATAAGGTGTATAATCGACTTGATATAAAACACTTTTTTCTGAAATCATCATCTATATCATCTTACATCTTATATACCATCCCATATTCATTTCATTAATTTAAAAAAATGTCATATTTTAATGGATATTTAGAACATTAATTGAATTTATTAAGATATTTTCTGTGTGCATGATTCTATTTAATTCAGATTTTAATCTAGGTTACTTGTTGAAATATAAAATAGTGGCCTTAATGTGTTTAATTCTGAATACCATAGTGATCTTTGTATAAAAAGTCATCCCCAGTTTGAATTTTATATTGCTCTTGTCTCTAGGATGATATGATATCTATAAAGTGTATCATTAAATCCCTCTGGATAAAATCAATATACTATCCCTCCCTACGTTATAACATCCCTGTCTGTTCATTCATACAAATTTTAACCCGTTAAAAGTGGAACACCTTTGGTACCTCTAAATGTGTAGCTTTTGGGAGGAGTTCCACTAAATCTGTCTAAGTGGAACACCTTTGGTACCTCTAAAATGTGTACCTTTTGGGAGGAGTTCCACTAAATCTGTCTAAGTGGAACACCTTTGGTACCTCTAAAATGTGTACCTTTTGGGAGGAGTTCCACTAAATCTGTCTAAGTGGAACACCTTTGGTACCTCTAAAATGTGTACCTTTTGGGAGGAGTTCCACTAAATCTGTCTAAGTGGAACACCTTTGGTACCTCTAAAATGTGTACCTTTTGGGAGGAGTTCCACTAAATCTGTCTAAGTGGAACACCTTTGGTACCTCTAAAAGTTCCACTTATAGAGGTTCTTTAACATTGAGTCAGTTGGGTCTTGGGACTCTGAAAAGTGTTTTACTAACAAAGGTGTTCCACAATTTAAGGTGTTCCACTTTATAGGTTTCACTGTACATATTCCCTGATTTAATTTAAATTACTAAATTCTTACTCCTTACACTGTATATCCAGAGGTGGGGACCTTTTGTGTCTCTTTGCTTAAATATATGTATGTTTTATTTTGTGTTACATTGTTTTCATACTATTTTGCTTTTAGTTAATTAAATTGTTTGTTTTGTCTTAAAATTCAATTTTCTTTTTTAGAAACCCCATTTTGTTGTTTTAAATGTATGCTACTAATTATTTTGCTTAACATGATTTTTGTTATTATATTATGTATCATTTTATCTAGTGCAGTAGGTCCAAGTGTCTGTTTTTTAACAGCTTCCTTCCCATAATTCTTAGTCCACTTTTCTTTTCTAATACTGAATTTCTTTTTCTCTCTAGGTGCAGAGATGTCGGAACTTTCAGAAAAATTAAATTATGACCGTGAAGTGATTCGCGTTTGGTTTTGCAACAAACGTCAGGGCCTGAAGAATTCCATAAAGAGGCTAAAGACGGCAGATGTTCACTCTTTTAGCGAACTGGCATCTAGTGATCATAAAATATTTTGAACAAGTTCATTCAATTATTCAGCCATTTTATGACATGTACCGTCAATATCCTACAACACTATTTAGGATCTGATGAAAATGGGTGTGTACAGTTATAGGAACAGCCAGTAAAGTGCCATTTTATGATTTGTGTCGTACATGTTACGCTTCCTCCTGATACTGTTATATACGCTAGTAACGCTACCTACTGTTTAAACAGGTGCTGAGATGACGGAACTCTCCGAGAGGCTAAATTTCGATCGTGAAGTGATTAGGGTCTGGTTTTGCAACAAACGGCAGATGTTAAAAAATACCATTAGACGATTAAAACAAGCAGAAATACCAACGTTATGTGAATAGCTGATGATGAATTCAGTCTTGTAAAATGAATGAAGATATTCCAATGGACAAGTATTTATAAAGCGGTAGTACATACAACCATGTTCTACTTATATGCTACTTTATATATATATGCAGCTTAATTGCCCATAGGTGCTACAGTTCGCCGATATATAACTGGATTGAACAACTGAACACAGAAAATATGAAATTACAAGTAACCGTAGTTTGGTTCCATGGAATAATTATAGGATCATGAACCTTGTGTATGATAACCTGTCACAACGGAGTTGATTAAGACAGCAAGTTTTCCTATATACACTACCCATCTAAGAACCTTATCCGATTGTTCCATAAAACCAGAGATATAATGTAACATATAGTTTTTGATGGAAACAGGATCTGAATTTGATAATTTTGGTTAAATCAACCCACTTACTTAACTCCCATTGGGCTTTACATTCTTGGAATTGATGCCTCCTGCCATCTATCAAATCGACGGGATTCTTCAGTAAACTATTTAATAGTGCAATCAGGGAAAACATACAGCAATGTATGCATTCTGATAAACAGAGCTTAATAGAAATTGCCATAATAAATTATTAGGTCTGATACAATGTAGACAATGCTGGAATGAATGGAAATGGAAATGAAATTGTGATTTCTATTGTACAGCATATATTGTACAGCATGTCAATTTATGAAAATCAATGAATTAACAATGAGGTAAATGTGAACTGAGATGCCTTGAATTGATATGGGCCATTCTCAGTAAATGTTATTACCATTTGGTATGATATGATATTGCTACATAACTCTAGACAATATCAAGCAATTGCATGATTAACTGAAGAACTGAAGTGCAGTTATACTCAGTCAAATGCATAACTCCAAATACTGGCCTAGAATCTTGCACATGGGCTTTGTCTCATGTTTTACCAAATAAATTACACATTATCACTTATTTATTATGTGGTTGTTATGGTGCTGTCAGGGCATGGTCAACGAAGAAATATTTTGCAATATTTGAATTATTTTCATCATTCTGGAATACTTATGTGTTTTTATTGGCCAGTACGTTGATAAAATGTGCAAATAAATATCTTAGTGATATTTTGACTTGCATTATATCGTATGATCACATATGTAGTTATTTTAAGTCTTTGATATACTTTTTATATTATGTTAAGTGGAAATACAAATATGTTTTGTAGTAGCTAACTCAGGGCAACGAAGTATGTACCTCTTATGTTATTTGAATAACTTTTGAGCCCTGTGTTCTTTTGGAGCCCTGTGTTATTTTTGAGCCTTGTGTTCGAAAAATATTTTATATAATACAGAAATTGTGTAATATAATGAAAAGTCACTTTGATGTGTTCAGAGAGGCAAGAGAATGCCAGTGTATAAATGTACAGTGTACAAAACAAGTAGATATTGTACCATTTTACTGTATGTAATATGGAAATTTCTTATTTATGTATTTATGTCTCTGTTAATTGTTAAATTGACCATTTTGACAATTATAAATAAGTTCAACCTGTTAGTGTATCTCTTCTTCTCTATTGTCAATTTTCAAATATCGAAAATAACTGTCTACTGTCTAAACTTTTTTCTGAACATTGTTTCAATTTATGTACTTATAATAGATGCTTGTTTAGCGTGATCATTGAGCATACATGTAAAAAGTCAGGACAGTGTAAGACCAACTGACCTAATATGTAACCTGAATGAACCTCTATAAGTGGAACACCTCCCAAGTGGAACACTTAGACGGGTTTTACTGTACATTAAAACTTGTCAGTGAAATGCTTCTGTAATGTAACAATTTAAAGATACCAATAAACTTAATGTAAAATAAACATCTGTAAGTGGAGCATTTCTGTAGGGGAACACTATTTTAAGGTATCAAAGGTGTTTCACTTAGACAGGTTTCAAGTACGGTATTTCCAATATTGGTGATGAAAGCAAAAATATAATGTTAATATTCAGTGAATCTCAAGCATGCAAATAACTTAACCTGATGTACTTGCCTTCTATTTTCTATACATGAAACTTAGCTGGTATTTAGAAATTCAAATTCAATGCATGATTTTAGTTTCATATGTTATTTATTAATATAATTTTACATGAATGAATTAAGATATTTTAATGTGATAATATGGCACTATGCCAAAGTTTGTTACATCATTAAAATGATTTGCCACATTTTTGGATAGATGTAATTCTGATAATACAAATTGTGTTAATATGAGATATAAATGTACATTAACGAAGAGGAGTTAAGAATTACAAATATTACTTATTAAATGTCTGTCTAGCAGTGCCTGTTTTGGAAAAATACCATATTGAAGGTCTTGTTTTCTAACAATATGAAAGGTACTAAACAGACAATTAACTTTTAGGGGCCTCAGTATGGGTTCTGTACTGCCAATTAGATCCCAATCAATGTATATTCAAAGTCATTTTCATCCCCATGGATTTTCAAATCTGAATGTTTTTTTTAATGTTACCATGGTACCCTAATACATGATGTCACAGTGGAGCTATTGTTGTACATGTTACAATGTATGTTGTACAGTTACAGTTTGCCTTATAAAGGCAACTGACATATTCTCAGTTTGTGACAACTGGACAAAAGCTATCTATTTACAATAGTGGATGTACATGTGATGGTTTTGTATGTAATTTACAGCAAAATATAAATATGAAACTAAGGTTTTCTGTGTATTTTATTTAATTGAAACATGACGCTCTAATGAAGATTCATACATCCTTTTTATTATAATGTCAATTGCCAGTCCCCAAACAAATGCAATTTCAGTATTACTTCTTATTACTTCTTCCCCCAAAATGGGCTCAAGATTTCCCAATTTTCTCTAAGAGAGTGCAACATCGAATCTTTATGCAAAGTTGATTTCCTTTATAATAGTTGAAATAAATTGCTTTCCTTGGTGAGCAACATGCCCTGTTGAAATTTCGAAAAGGCAATTGTCTAATTTATTCTTTATAGAAATGCATGATAATTATTATTTTTCTATCAAATAAACATTTGTGTCATCATCTCATAATGTTATATAGCCTTTACTGCTGTGGCCAGCTGCGGTTGGTGACCAGTATAGCCAATTGTTAATGTTGCATGTACAGCTCTGTAACCGTTTGCAAGTACAGAAGAACCTGTATATCTGAACACCCGGCTAATCCGAACACCTTCCAATTTGAACACTTTTTTTTGTCCGAATTTTTCCTCCCATTGACTGCCATGTTAAAAAAACTGAAATGTGAACACCCCTCAATTTGAAGTGAACGGTCATATTTGAAAAATTAACCTGTCTAATCTGAACACTTCATATGTTTCATACAAAATTGCTAAAATATTTTTTATCATAACTTTGGAAAAAAACTTGAATGGTCTTGAATATGATAGGGCTTTCCAGCATGAATAGATTCATTTGAATATAATTTTCAAAATGCTGAAATGCCATAAAGCTATGTGGTCAAATGAACTATAGATATGTACCGAGAATGTGTTCACATTTCTTCAGAATCCGGCGAATGTGAACACCTCCTAATCTGAACGCTTTATGCCGGTCCCAATGGCGTTCGGATTAGACAGGTTTTACTGTAGTGGCATTTTGTCATGAATCCCGTAGTTGAGTTTTAAATTGAGTGTATAGAATGAAAATGGTGAAGGCAACGACATTGTTTTTCAGATTCATTAAACATTCCAAGTTGTTACCCAACATAACAATATTTCACGATTCAATAAAGGTGATTGATCATTTATTTCCAGACTTTTATAATTTCTATTTTAATGCTTCATTATGGCATGTAAATTGACTAACATTTGTTGTTTTCCATAAATCAAAATGTTAATGCTACTTTTGAAATCTCATAGAATCTTTTATATTATCGTAAGCATGCTGCGTGGCATAACAGTTATGTACGCTTTGGCAATTTTTTGCGTCTGTTGCTTCTCCACTGTGGAACCAAAGTGGAAGAAACCCAATGGTGGTGATCAGCGACCTACCAAAACAGACCTTGGTAACTTAGAAAACGCAATCCAACAATTGATTGAAAGCCAAGCGGCTTTGAAAACAGATCTGAAAACGGATGATTCTGACATCGCTAGTCTCAGAGATGAGATTTCAAACCTACGGGATGCTGTTACTAATCTTCGAGATGGTAAATTTGACGTTAGAGAAAGTATTGCTGAACTGAGAGACATGCTTGAATTAAAGTTTGACAAGTTTACAAATGAAAAACAAGAAGATACTATTACTAAAGCTGGTGTACCAGTTTACTCGGAAGGTTAGATTTCACTTTGATATTTTATGATGTCAGTTTCAATTAGTCTTGCTTGCAAGACCTTGGACTATCTACTCTAATAACTGTGTTGTTCAGGTAGGAGCCAGGTCTACAGTCTTGAAGCAAAGTTAAGTTTTATCGAAAAATATTTTTAGAAATTTTTCAGCCAAAGCTTTTGACAAAAATATCCAATCGAAGTAAAACGTCACGTGCCTCTTTTTAAGTCATGAACAATAAAAAATGTTTTCAAACTTTGGACCTGTAAATTAATAGACCATTTTATCTTCAAAACATGATTTATACATGTACGTTTTACAAAAGTGATAGGGGTCCTGAGGTAATTCTCTAATCGTGTAACATTGATTATATCTAAGGTTTTTAGCCCTGGACTAAGTCACAGGCTGGTATCGAAATATTTGTCCGCTGTGACGGAGCATGCTATTTTTCATAAAAACACTAAGAATACTTCACGATTTATTTTTTAACTCATATGTTTCGTTATACCATACAAAATTACTTACTCCATGCAATGGATATATCATTTGCGGGTAACTTTCACTTCTGTTTGAAGTCCAATTACGCTGGGAAGAAAAGCTATTGAAAATGGCGCCGGAGTATCATACTTCAAAATGTACCATTTCTTGTTTAACTTTCTAATGGCACGATATAGTGACACGATAATATTTACACATGGTTTCAGCATAACTATGAAAGTATAAATGAGATGTTGATGTATTTGGTCTTTTTAATTCTTTTATAAAAAATAATGTTTAATTTTTTTGTCCGCTGTGACGGAGCAGTTGCAAATGTGAACTGTGAAAATGCTCCGTCACAGCAGACAAAAAATATTAATATTATTTCTTATAAAAAAATTAAAAAGACACAATGCATTAATATTTCATTAATACATTCAGAGTTATGCTGAAAACATATGTTAATATAATCGTGTCACTATATCATGCCATTAAAAAGTTTAAAAAAAGAAATGGTACATTTTAGAGTTTGATACTCTGGCGCCGTTTTCAATAGATTTTACACCTAGCATTATTGGACTTCAAACAGAAGTGAAGGTTACACTCAAATGATATATCCATTGCATGGAGTAAGTAATTATCTTTGATATAACGAAACATATGAGTTAAAAAATAAATCGTGAAGCATTCTTGGTGTTTTTATGAAAAATAGCATACTCCGTCACAGCGGACAAATCTTTCGATACCAGCCTGTGTAAGTGCTATGTGGAATGATCATTCCTTGAAATTGTGGAATGATCATTCCTTGAAGTTGTTGCTTTCCAAAAAATGCACGAGATGCCCAGCATCGTGTGTTAATCTTAGGAAACAACACTTCAAAAGAATGGTCACATTGGCGAAGCATGAATTTCAATATGTAGAATCAAGTTGTCACCTCGGCAACAACATAAGGAATGACTTTGGATGCGGTGATTGGTTATATAATGCACTGCAGTTATATGAAATACTGTAATTGGATTGGCTGGAATCGGAAACATCTTGCCTAGCTCTGCGTGAATGTATTCTAACCAATGACACTAAAATAAAATTTGAATAAAATAATGTTAGCTTAATTTTTTATTAAACTTATTTACAGTTTGTAATAAATCATCTCAGATGTTAGGAGCCATTCAAGAACAACTCAAGAGATATCTACACAATGCCTTGGAAACTACAGACAACAATATTACAAATGGTAAACACTATTACTTATACATGTATTCTTGTTATCGATATTTTATTGTTTATCAATATGCTTATTAATTATAGATACAATAGAGATCATATGGTAATATAACTATTGTTAGTATTTTAAAATATTATATTAAAATTTATAATTTTCTTTTTAATTTTGTAAAAATATTTAAAAATTTTGAATATTGACAAACTTTGGAAAAAGATTTCTAAAATGTGTTTTTTAATTCGATTATTCGACATTCGATAATATATCCCTCCAATTATGTAACGATTAGATTATCCAAACAATACAACAGTTAACTGATTTCAACAGATTTCAAAATCGTTCAGTGTTCTCTTGCTACTACCTCAGGCATATGTAACCAGTTAATAGGGACAGATGCATTGACGAAAGGCTTCGATGGAATGAAAGAAGAAATAAAGAAACTCGTTGAAACATGTCAGATGGGATCAGATGACCAAACATATAAAGGTATGTGATTCATTGTGTAAAATGTGGGTAAAATGTCATGTAGAAGAAAAAGCGTCGACTCTTCTTGATCTAGAAGTGTTTATCAATTATGAATGAGAATATCTGAATAGGAAAAAACAAACACAGAGCCTGCAACAGAACCTATTTGTTATAGATTTACCATAGGCCACCCGCCATAAAAAACTATTTTTCTTGCAATTACATTAGGAAAGTTCAACGGGTCAACGGGGGCAGAAGAAGTAAAGAAAGGCTTCGATGGGGTGAAAGAACAAATAAAGAAGCTCGTTGACACATGTGAGATTGGATCTGGTGACCAAATAATTAAAGGTATTTAGTCGTTTGAATTTTGATGATTCAATGGAAATATCTACTGATACTCAGTTATTTAGACGGCAGCGCTCTTTTGCAACATCATAAAGCTAACATATTTTTTTGCTAGCATAGTTCTACATACACTGATCGAGTCAACATTGTTGATTCTAAACCGGCTTGAAAACTACTCCCCTTGATAAATCTCACGAATTGATATGAGTTTCAGAAATTGTCAAATATGAGTTAAACATGTTATTTACCCCCCAAGTTATCTTACTCACTTGTGATTACTCTTAAAATGGTGATGTCTCTAGGGTTAACATGGACTACCATGATAGAGGGTGGGTGGGTGCATAGTACCATCCTTAAAGATCGGCCCTTCACCCTGCACGAAAAGTGTATTGTTAATACTTGGCGTCGTTCGGATATTTGGCCTTTTTGGATGTAATTGACGTTTCGGTAATCTCCTACCACTGTAACTTCCAACTTTTGAGAGCCAAATATGATGGTTGCGAATTGATATTTAGGGAGCGGTACATCTTAGCGCACTTTTATCATCCCGAGCTCAAACATTTCGAATACTTATTTCGCGAACGCTTTGTTAAGAATGGATTCGAGATGTACTCAAAATCAATACATTAAAACGTGTATTATCGTCTTAATAACCACCTCACAAATTATTTTAGAAATAAAAGATGTACGATTTTTGAGATTTTCATTTTCAAATGTTGACTTAGTTACTGGACCTGACTGTTAAATGTATCTGAAACTTTTTGTATTAATTGTTCCTTTAGTATTTTTTCAAATCTGGCATATTGATAGGCATTGTGTTTGATGCCAATATTCTTCATTAATAGGATAAGATAAGATAAGGATAAGATGTTAAAGGCAGAATCAGATCTATGGGGGTGACAAAATTACAAGCAACATGTACAATTGACCTACCAATCTATTCCTTACAATATCAAATACAATATCTCCCAAAAGATTCATGATATGTTATAAATTGGTGAAGTTATGGCAAAAATGGGTGAAAAATGTTCAAATTCTCCCAAATAATAAGAATGGTAACCATTCTTATAGAAAAATAATACATTATTGTAACAATCTTTAGTTTTCCTGAAATAATATGTGCACTTATGGGATTTTTAGAAAATAGACATGAAAAAGAATGACATAAACCAGAAATATTCTAAAATTGAAACAATTTTTTGTGAGGCTGCTTGCTAAATCTGATTCTCTCTTTAAGGTTTAATAATATATTGTGTGATTGAGTTGATTTTTCAGACATTACAATTTTCATTTTTCTTAGTCGATATCCTGAACCATTCCCTGACATATTCTTTATTTTAAACCATTCCACAAAGGTGAATGTTTTGTTTGTTATTTTTCTAGAACCGTGTAACAATGACACATTTCCTGTATCAGAAGACTGCATCGGCCAATCTGATGGACTTCATATAATATCTCCGAAGACTGGAAAACGATTTCTTGCAAAGTGTGAAGCTGGTTGGATTATCCTTACACATCGCTACGATGGGAGTGTGGAATTCAATCTTGAATGGGCAGCTTACAAGCAGGGATTTGGCAATATCTTGGCAGAACACTTCGTGGGAATGGACAACATTGTGTCCGTGTTGCAACAGAGGAGGTACAAGGCAATGTTTGACCTGACAACATGGGAGAATGAGACACGATATGCTGACTATAAAATATTTGACATTAATGATGAAGAAGACAAATATAGGTTGAACATTGATGGTTATAGTGGCACGGCGGGTGATTCGATTAGCGGTAACAACCATCAACGGTTCTCCACAAAGGACTCTGATAATGATAAATTGAATGGTAATTGTGTTTTAAGTTATAATGGACCATTTTGGTTCAATGCTTGTAAACCGCAAGGCTCTATCTTTGGCGTATACGCAAAAGGTCCCAGTTGTAACGAAGGTGCATATGAATGTATAACTTGGTATAATTGGCCTGGGAAGCTTCCTGGAGTAACTGGTGGCAATTACAATTATTCTTTTAAAGAGGTAAAACTCAAAATTAAGCCTTTGTAACTTTTAGAAAGACAATATGATGTATGGGTGATTCATTCTTTTGATTTATAAGATTATCTGTTCAGATATTTCAATGCCTTTTTCAATGTTGAACAGTCAGGATTGTTCGGGAAACATTAGCTTGCTTTTAGAAATAAGATTCTCTCGATCTCTATTTTTGCTGTCACTGTCAAAAATACTATAATGCTTGCTTTTGAAACTATGATACAGTTGGACAAGGCGCTGGCTTAATTCTCTTGTACAAGACGTAGGAAACACATAGGAAAGAAAGTAAAAGAATGAACGAATGGGGAACATACATATGATATTTACGTAAACATAGGTAGGAAAATCAAAAAATCTAAACATCGAAAAATCTCAGCTTCCGACGCTCACATTCTCGCAACTGACTTAAACTAAAGAATAATGTGGTTCAAATCAAAAATCATGAAATTAATAGTTCCTTCCTAGAAGGGGTGATGAGTTTCAGAATGGCTTTTCCTATTATCATGTAAACAGTAGAACACGACCACCCCCTTCATAATTCGTGGCATGGCAGGTCACGTATTCAACCCCGGTATTCGACATGCCGTTCCGAGACTCTAACATGGAAGTCGGACCCCATTTGGTATTAAAGAATGTAATTAATTTACCCTTTGCATTCGTTCAACTTCACTTCTTAAAAGAGAGCTTCGTCTTCACTCTTTCAGTTTCCAATAAATCTTTGATCTCACCGAGCCAATGAGAATTCGTCGTCGAAAACGGACGACTTTCTATATGGTCATTTTCTCTGATATCATCGAATAGTGAATGGATACTCATTTAGTACGCGTTCCTTCCACTTAAGTATCCACTGGATAAGTAATATTAATAACATGGGCATTCAATCTATTGAAAGCCCATGGTAATAAGGAAGACTAGATAAACTTTCCAACATCTAAAAACGGAACTAGTAGAGAGAACATTGAATAAATCAATTATTAAATGGATTCTTTTTTGGATAAAGTGGAAAACAATATTTCCCATGTTATTTTCTCATAGGGAAAACTCATGCGATTCATTGTTAACGATTTAAGTCATTGATAATATTTCCCTTAGTGATCCCATGCTAAATATACAGTAACTGGGTCAAAGTTTTATGTTCAACCTTGTTTTCATGACTTTTAACATGAATCGACAATTATGTCGGAAATTTCAATTCCAAATGTAAGCGTGTCAACTCCTGTTTTTGCACAATATTTACCCTTTTATAATGATAGATCGCCAAAATCTGCATGTACCTCTTAATGAGGTGATATGTTTTTTAATTTATTGATGTAAGCTATAAACTCAAACAAAAATTCAAACCACCCGCTATTATTTTGATTGTACAAGACGTAATTTCCACTCCCGGGGAGCACTTTGAGATATTTATTTATTTGGATATTTATATAAATGTAAGTCGGCATGTATTCGACAGTTAATGTACACACATGATGTATGCATCAACGTGTGACTTAAATATCAATTCGTGACGATCATATTCACCCAGGATAGCTTGACAACGGTAAAGGCAGATACCGTTGTCACAAATGGCGGACAACCGTCGCTTCACTTAGATTTTCATGAACTGTATGTTTAATAGAGCACCTAGACTAAATTCTTTTGGAACATCAATCCATCAACGTGTCTTAATACTCATTGTACAGTTAATAATGTTCTACCATCGAAACAAAGTCTTTAATTCAACCGATCGAAATGAGATACGGGACTACGGACATTGTAATTACCATATGCCGTTGTCTTTCTAAATTACTCAAATTCAGATTCCGTTGTCATTGACGATATCGAAGACGCTTTATTGTGGCGATTCACGACCCAATTTTATCGGAAATGGCATTTCATATGATACATTAACACAAGAGCTTAATGCATGCACAGAATTAGCGACGATGAAATCCCAAGAAATGAGGACCAAGTGATTAAGCAGTTGAAGCGACGGTTATATGTCCGCCATTTGTGACAACGGTATCTGACTTTACCGTAGTCAGGCTATTCCGGTGTGATATTTGGCTTTCAAAAATTAAGTTGGAAGTTACAGTGGTAGGAGATTAACGAAAACGTCAATCACATCCAAATATCCGAACGACGTCAAGTATTAACAATACACTTTTAGTGCATCTCGAACAAGGCAAGGTTCTCTGATCTAGCAATGTGTATTCCGAAAGAAAAAAATCACAAATATCAACAATTGAGTAGGAGATTACATTCGAAATCACAACTTTCAAAATATTTGTTTTAACCAAGAATTGTAAGAACTTGAACATTTCAAACCGCATATCCTCATTTACGTTCTTTGACAATGATGAGTCCATTTGAAAACATGGATTTTCTTGATTATTCTTCAAAACCACCCTTGAAATATAAGTATGTAGGATATTACAGTGTAAATTGACACGCATTTGTTTGCTCCATATCATGAAAAAATAAATGCAATATTTCAATATTCGAAAACAGAAAGTTCATTCTGAATGTAAACAAGAAAAAATACATTTATGGTTGGCTCATAATGAAGAATGACAAATAACATATCTCTTTTGAAGTAGGGGTATACAGGAACATAGTAGAAATTCAGAAATGTAGGCCATATCCCCGAGATTGCTTCACCAATATGTAACGGAACATCAAAATTATCACTAACACGTTTGCTGATAGGTTTATTGAAAATAATTAACCAGAGGTTTACTTCAATTGTTGCGCCACGAATATCCAGTGTTGACTAAGTTACTTGACTTGACCGATAAAATAAGTGATTAAAAATTATTTATTTATAAATATTGATAGAAAATGTACGCAGGCATTCTGAAGTATATGTAAGATACGTTAGCGTTAGCTTTTTACATCTATAGACATCAAGAGAAGGTCTGTCGAACGTTTAAAAAGTTAAACTCAGTACAATATAACAAGAATCTATCTAAAATGCTCAAAATATAATGGATCTCAATATACAGTTACACTTCCCCTATGGCGACCGTACGTCGACCGTAATTCCCTGAAATCGGCAAATTCCTACGGCAACCGTAAGTCTACTGCGTATCCAGTTTTTAACAAGCCGTAGCCAAACCGTATGCTTTAATATTTGCCGCCGTGGCATTTAAACTGCCACATACTATATTTCTACCTGATAAAAGCATTACTCTGATATAGTCTGAACTTGTTTTATAAGACAATTATTTCGGTTTTCACAACCAAAAATGTGGTGATAACAATTAATACAAAGAAGAAAAGAATGAACTAAAATCCCATTTTGCTCAAAGATCTATGACCTCGACTAGGTTTTGGTGATTATATTTTATAAGGAACTAAGTAAAATCTAACTGCAGGTGAACTTTTTTACCCTAAAAGTCACCAGGAAAGTGTCGAAAACCCCAACTTAGAGAAAAGGATGAGTGGGTTGAGAGACGGTGACATATTCTTCTTTAATAAATTGACAACATATTCAATGTCAGAATATTTTTATCAAGACTATCTCGTCAATACCAGCGTTTTGGTTTTGGTGAAAATTATTTGCAATACGAAAGTCTGTTTTCAACAATTCACAGTTGTGAATTTCATTCTGTGTTTTCAGGAACTAATTTGGCGCTTTTTAAAAGCAAATATACACCCTCTATTCTTTGCTGCCACTTTAAGGGAATTTCAAATTCAAAATAGGGCACGCATTGGCTCCCTTATATCAGAAATAAGAAATATACACTCCCGCTTAAAAGTTTCGTAATCGGAAGTTTTCATTAAAAAGCTTATAAAGCCTGTCAATTGTCGAATCTTAGTTTTGTTCTGTAATTAAAATAGTTTTTTTAATCGCCAAAGATGAATAGGCTTTGATAAGTGATCAAAATGATTTCCGGAAATCAGGTTGTCAAACTTATGGAGGGGAGTGTGTTTAGGGAATAGGAGACGTAGAAACATAAACACATTCATTAAACATCTTCTATCGGGAAGATATCGACAAAATGCGAGGGCGAGAAAATATGAAGCTTACACATACTAAGAAAACTTAATTGCTTTTACATGCAGAAGATTTATTCTAATTACATTTTGGTATTCACACTCTATATGGTCTGAGATCATGCTGCGTTGGTTGAAAGGCAGTCATGTCAAAATCTGGCCAGAAGGTGACTTCGGGTTTGGCATCAGCGATGACATCAAGAACGATCTCTAAAGTGATGGTTGGATCGTGTGATTGGCCTATCATGACCAACTGGAATGCCATCATCGGGGCTGTTGGTAACGCAACCATTTTTAGGATGGACTCCACGGCTTTCATGCGGTTAAAGAATCCTTGAAGATTTGTCTCTTGCGCAATGAGCCAGTCAATATACTCGTTCTGACTTGCAACCAGGTTTTCTTTGTTCACGTTTTCGTCGGTATATTGAGGGATGTCGGCGAGACTTTCGTCATATACAGAGTCTGAATAATCATTCAACTGGTTCGTGAAGTCGCTGCCGTTTACGAACCCTTCTTTTATTTGCTCGTAGCTGACTTCCATTTCAGCCGCGGCTTCGATCTCGGTGGCGATATTCTCTGTTAGTGTAGTTTGAGTGGCAGCGCTGTCTGCTATGATATTATTCAAATCATCTCGGACAATTTTTAGGCTATCCCTAGATGCCTTCGCTGTTGAGATATCAAAGTACAAAACAATGCCATTCAAGAGAAATCCGACTCCATATGCAGCGACCTTCAAGGCTTTTGCGATTCTTGGGTTTGCTTTCAAGTAGATGTCCATGCGACTTAATTTTTGACCAGTGGTCGAATGAGCTTCATAGATCTTTTGGATTTTTTGCCGTTGAAAGTTGGTGGTATCAATATTTCTCATGCTTTTTCTCCACTTATAATGATTGTATGCATTATTGGCGAAGTAGAGAGTCTTTGGTAGGATTTCAACAGCCAAGAAAGCCCCGTGCATATAGCTGTGCATCTTCATACTCTCCTCCAAAGCCCTGCATAATATTACGAAAACAGTATTATAAGCAACTAAACCAGTGATCTCCAATTATCAGAACAGTCTGGTGTTGCACGGTGTTGAAAATAACACCCCAAGCAGTTGAAATTTCAAAGGTTTTGGATTATTGAGATATTTTAACCAAATAAGGTAAAGTTAGTCGGAATAGGCATCATGTTGAGAAAATTCCTGAGGAGGTCATTGTAAACTGTTAAAATTATCTGTACAAAATGAGAACTTTTTCTAAACTAGGAGTAAATGCCAATGAATTCTATGTGCTGATTTAGTTCATATATCTATGGAAATGGAGTTATTTAGGTTAGAGTTAAATATCTTCTCAAAATCTTTTAACAATTTCACTTTGACATATTTTATTAAGACAGGCCTTTATTTGACAACTTTAAGTATAAGTCTCAGAAACATCTCAGAATCGGATATTCATCAACGAGAGAGAGAAGGCACGGTAGCAATGAAGGTGCATGAGTCCTTAAATTCATCATTTTCGCGGTTAATGTACGAGTAGTAAGTACGGATACATACTTTATCTGAGCCTTGACACCTTGGATGTTTGTAGTAATCGCATTGACATCAGTTTCCATTTGTTCAGGGTCTATAGTTGTCACAGATACCCCTGCAACTTCCTTGAGTAACTAAAAATGAACAATTATTACAATTTGCGTGAGAATACAAACATTCTTTATTTCTTTAAATTAAATATGAAAATACAAATCTGATACCCTCCCTCTCCCCCTACAGGGTAGAGAATACACTTACAACTACGATATCAGCAGAGTATTCCCGGATCATCTCAAGTTTGCCTACGATACGTTCATTTTTGCCATTTGCTGTGGTGAGAGTATTGTAGAGGTCTGTGTTCACACCATCCATTTGTTTCAACCTTTCAGCGTCAGTATTGAGATTAGCTGCTATTGCTTCCACTCGTGGGGTGAGGGTGTCGATTTCACGCTGGAAACAAATAATTTTGAGGCTTTCGAGCCAATACAATTTGACAAATGAAAGATGTGAATAGAACAGTGAATTCTTAACGTGTGATGTTGTGATTGAAGGACTTAAGACATGTGCCATTCTGAGATGAAGCATTTTTAGCTTATTTTAATTTCATTCTCTTACGATTTGGCCTTGAACAATACCATGGACTTTAATGTAATTGTGAGGTTTCCAATCAACACACCAGGGGCTAACTAAACCCATGAGAGTGGGATCAAAATTTAGATCAAGTCCCCAAGAAATGGCGGCCATGTTTGAAATAAAAAATTAAAGGTCTTTTACAAAAATAAATAGATCATTGATTTTATCCAATTCAGAATACTCGATCAGTTTAGTTTTCAACATTATTATGTTATGTTATTTTACAAATATTTTTTAGGTTATCTTGTTATATTACGTTACATCATTTAATACAGCGTTCCATCATAACAATATTACCTGAAGGTCACATATTGAGGGATAGTACGAGCATCCATGACTAGCCCAACTGGCTAAACTCAAGCCTAGGGTAGTAGCCTGTGTCCCGTAGAATAAACCTTTTAGTACTAAGGCTGCTGAAGCTGAAAGCATACATGTTCCACATATTAATATGTGGTCTGTGTTGAAAATTCGGAAAGAGAATCTTTTAAAGCTACGTTCACACCAACGGCGCTTTGATGGCGCGCCGTTGGTGTGAACTAAGCTTAAAAGTGATGGCCTCCTGATGGCCATGCCTGTTCTTGGTCTAGTTTTTTTGTGATTTTTACAGAGAATTGGTCATACGTCTAAATATGGCAAATATTAAACTTCACGAAACTCAAATATCTTTCAGTATTTCCAAATAAACATATTTCGTCACTTACATTGTACTTCATAGACGTGATGTACCGCCACTAGTAACAACACGAGAGACAGAAGAGTTGTTAATAACGGCAACCGCATGCTTCCTTCTGCTTCTCTGCTTCTGGTTGCTTCACTTCGCTTCCGACTGCTTTTCTGCACTCAACTCCAGTTGGAATAGTCAACTTACATTCTGATTTATCAGAGTCCCTCTTTACCTAACGTTTTTGAGAGAACTATTCCAAAAGGATAGTAAAGGCTGTGGATCCCACAATGGTCAACTTACTTTTGATCTAGGTCTGCTCTTTGAAACTTTTGATTCTAGATGTGTATAGTGGGCACTTATAAGTTGATCTACCTTTGAAGAAAATACGCTTCTGGTCACATTTTCAAAATGAGATATACAGATAAGGGAGTGAAATGAAAAAGAAAAAAATAATGGGCATCTAGTAAACACTAAAACATGATTAAAATAGGGCAGCGAACTTTACAATTTTATCAAATGATAGGGAAAATGGGTAGAATTTAAACCAAGACGAGCATTCTTGCATGGGTACAGTGTAATTACGCTGACAAACAAGTCCTATAATCTCTAGGATAATTAGATTCACAATTAATCAATTAATGCTTCAATTTGCTTTAGCAAGATCGAATGTCACTATCATCTTGATTCACAAGGTTTTAGTTGCTCCAACAATGTTGGCGGAAAAAATTGGGCCCAAAAAAATTTTGGGCCAAAAAAGGCCTTCAGGCCCCAAAAAGTGGGCCTTTTTGGTTATTATTGGGCCTTTTAAGGCCTTATTTTTTAATTTCAGGCCACATTTTGAAGAAAATGGGCCTCAAAATTTCAAAATATGGGCCCACTTTTGGGTTTTAGGGGCCCAAGCGCGGACGTTTTTTTCTCTGACTTGAAATTTGCCCCCCCCCCTTGTTGATTCCCAGATCCGCCCCTGAACATCACCACGGTGATCACGGTCTTTTGACCCAGGACGTTTGGACGTTTACAGAAATACCCAGGACACTTCTATACTAAGACAAAACTTTATGCTTTTCAGAAAATGAAAATAATGTTTTACAATTAGATACTACAGAAACTATTCTTAATCACAAAACAGAATGATGATGGGCCAATGTGAAACATCGTACAGTTACACCATTTACTTTATTTCATTTTGGAAGTCGATATTCGACGATATTTTCTTCCTTTTCAGTTTTTGTTAGAGATAAAATAATTATTTTGAGTTCTCAAAGTCGGAAAGTTGTATATGACTTCATCAACCCTGCGCGCAGAATCTTGTTATAAACTACCGACGAAGTTAGTAGCGAAGTCGAACCCATGCAAAGGGTACGTACGAAATACATACATACATGTATTTATTCTTATATATATTGTTGCTTTACTGTAAACGTCCAAATATTCGCCCAGTGCATACTTTGACCATGTAGGACAGAGTTATATAATATCATGGAAACATAATTTTCTGATTTAGATCATTTTCCAACAATCTCCTGAAATAATAGGTTTAGGAATTAAGGAATTAAGTATTATCTAGGGTTATTAACTGCCAGATAATATGTTGCATTGGTTACTCCTCAGTGATATGGTTTGATGTTCATGTTTTAAAAATGCAAAAATGCAGAAGAAAATGAAACAGACAGACACCAAGTTCACAGTCAATATACTGCGTAGAAATTGCCACAAATTCTAAAACATCGTTTAAATATTGCCGAAATGATATTATAATTGTAGTGATATTGTGACATTTTATCTGTAATATACAATAAAGTGCTAATGACGGTTCAATTGTTTAATCTTCATTTCATATTATGCAATAATAACAGCCCGGGGATGCACTGGGGATGATCTAGTTCTATCACTTCCATTATCTAATATTATTAATGAGCAAAAACTAGATTATGATCGAAGTGTTCTACAATTTCATTCCAATCTGTTAAAACACAAGTTGAAAATACTAACAACTGAAGAGACACGAGGAAATCATGTCATTCGCGGTGACCCAGAAAAAACTTCTTGATTTAAACTTAATATTCATTTATTGAAAAATAAGTACAAATCTCACAGAATGCGTAAACTTGTATTTAAAACTGTAATACTATTGTAATAATTTTCCGCATTTTTTCGCGAACTTATTGTACGACCTGGAACTATTAGAAAGCCTGTTAAGGTGAATCATATTTTGTGTTCTTGAAATTTAGTTTGGATAATCATTCAACGAATTAAATCCAATGCTAGAAGTATCAAATCAGGGGATTCTGCCGCCTGTACGTTTTAGCCTATTCTCTTAATTTGTTTTCTACAATGTAAAAATTGATTCTCAAATATAGATGTCACGTATTGTACCGGTGTAAAAGGGTAGGAGGTCCTATTAATTTATGGTCCTACTCTCCATTGATTTATAAGGTGACCAGTCTTTGTGCTCTTTCCCTTATTATCTTATACACTGAAAAGGGGGGACCATCATTTCTTTCACACCGGTATATGTTCTGATAAGAAATATCCTCAACACCAAAGAATGCAGGTAAACGTGTGTCCCTTGTTTTGCAGTTTTAAAATTTCAGAGATGATCTTTGCACAAGAAACTAACAAATAATGTGAGTCTCGGCGAATTTAAATGGAAACAAGTGGATGGTCTGTAGCCTAATTTCCCTCTGCACTGCACAGATTGTGCACAGATTATATTTTCAATTTCTAATATCTGGTAAAATTAGCCTGTCCTCCTATCTTTCATACAAAAGACCCTTCCAATTCCAAAATCTGGGTTACACCCTGATGGTATAATATTGGAAAAACAGCCTAGCTGAATATATGCTGGAACCGTGGGGCTGGGACTCTCAAAACTGGCCATTTTGAATAAATAGCAGTTGAGGACATGGACCAAAATGGGTAATGCTATGCATGAACTCTCTCAAATCTAGCCAATATATATTGTTGGAGCTTTCATCATCATCTACAAATATCTATCCACAACATGAAATACAGTATATATAAGGTTGATAAATATATATTTCTGTCATATATGTTTTGATGTGATTTATCATACTAATAATACTACATTGATGGTGAGGTAAGCCACTCACTCCATCTATATTTGCTAGACATTGTGCTTTCAAACAAAAACCTGGTGTACAGTATTGGAAGCATTCCCAATTTATTGTAAAGTCATTTTATGTTAAGTTAAAGTCTCCAACTTTTTGTGGGCGATGTTCAATGGTTGGTGTTTTTAAAGGTCAGTGTTCGGTGGTTGGTGTCTGTAACAAATGCAGGTGGTGTCATTTTGCATGGTATTGCCTTATTTCCTAATGCTTTTGTAACATAAAAGAGCCAAAATGTTCACACATGGGAATACTTCAATTAACAATAACTCTAGCTGTTTGGAAGAAATTCTGCACTCAGATGTTAGAGGAACTCTTGTATCGTATGTAATATCTCTAAGTATCTATACAACTCAATTATAATCTTGATGTCCACTCAAATATGTGAAGAAACAGAATCAGATGGTTGCAATTTTACAGGTTGGCATGGCAACATGACACAATGATGCATTCTGGGATGGATGTACATTTTTTATTTCGTATAATTGCAAATTATAATATAATATGTACCCTGGCGACCACATCATAATGATCATACCTTTATTTTGATTTGGCATAATTTAAGACAAGTGTATATGGTCTATAGTATACTCTATAGCCCATTGTAAAATGTCCCTAACAGTAGTATATGCATTTGCACTAAAAAATCCTCTATGGATCCTCCATTGGAGAGTTTACAATGCACTATAAATGTACACTAATGTAAACCATGTTGAATTCATGCATGCAATTTTTCAGGAACCAAATTTCTGACATGTATGTGTTACACTGCTTCATTCTAAACAAAGTATTTCAGAATTTAATCCATAAACTTAAAATTAGCATGTTTTACAAATCTTCAAGAATTCAATATGTTTTACACTACACTTTAACTGTATCAATTCAGACTGCAAAATAATAATAGAAAGTCTACATAACAATAAATAATCCTACAGCATGAGTGATCTCCCAAGAATTAGAGCAACTGGAAAAAAATGACACACCACCCTCTAGAAAATTACACACCCACTCTTGAAAATTACATGCCACCCTGTTGAAAATTACACACCACCCTGTTGAAAATTACATGACACCCTACACACCACCCTCTTGAAAATTACATGCCACCGTTGAAAATCTGAAAATTACATGCCACCCTGTTGAAAATCTGAAAATTACATGCCCCCCTACACACCACCCTCTTGAAAATTACATGCCACCCTGTTGAAAATCTGAAAATTACATGGCACTCTGTTGAAAATCTGAAAATTACACACCACCCTCTTGAAAATTACATGCCACCCTGTTGAAAATTTGAAAATTACACCCACCCTGTTGAAAACATTTGCACCCTGCCAAAAAGTATTGAGATACTTTGATCAGGTAAAATTAGGATTTTGCACCATGTTAGTGAAAGGCTGGGAGATCACTAGACTGTGAGATTCATGGCTTCAATATGGCAATTTTAGAAATGGGTTTTAGTCTTATCATAGGAACGATATATAAATGAGCTAAATAGCATATTATTCAGTATGAAATCACTTTTCCTGAAAAACAAATCAGGAAAAAATAATTAATGTAAACATATACTGTTTGAGTACTGAATGATGCTTTTTGAAGGTGATGAGGTTTTCCTATTTTAAGTTAGTTAGTATTACTAAGTTACTAATAAGCATTAAAAAAGTCTAACATCAATTCCCTGTACCCCCCCCCCCCCATCTTTTATCTGAAATACAGGCATTCTATATTGAAGAAAACTGAGAGATACAGGGGCCAGAGACTTGATAAAAGACTAGTGTATCGCATTGTCTTTGACTACCTTACTTTATACATGTACACTATACATGCACATTAATTAGTGGAGTTGATTAATAAATGCATAAATAGCAACAGAAATGCAGGGGATTTTGGCAGGTTTTCATTCATTCATCTGTTCACACAATGATGAGTCTAATAAAGGCAAAGTTATCACATATTTTTCCATGACATCATTAACTGATGATTTTATGAAGAAATAAACGATCATCACCTTTCAGTGTGTATACATAGTTTATACACATACAGGGTGAGTCAAAAAATGCAAGGATCAATTTGCAGATTTTTTCACTCACCCTATCTATGTTTTTCTCACTAAAACTTCAATTAGTTCGATACAATATCCAGTAAACTAGCTATACTACACAACTTCGATGTTTGTGTCTTTTGTGCAAACAAGCTCCAAAATAACAGAAGATGTAGAGATACACAGTCCATTTTCTGAGGATGTTGACATACACAGTCCATTTTCTTCTTCGGATTCATTTACACTGTCCATGGAGCCATTTACACTGGTGTTAGTACTATTTACACTTGTCATACTAATACACGATTCCACAGAGTTCATAGAGCATGAAGTCTTCATCTCAATATTGTCAACAGTTTGAACATTAGCATCCGCATTCTCTTTTTGGTTGTCATTCAATGCACTCTCTAGCGACACGCTAGCGCCATCTATATGTTGAATAATGTTCACGTTCAAACACTCAGCAATGTTTAAATTGTCTTTATCAATTGTGTTATTTAAGTTCTCATCTACATTGTTTTTAGCATTATCATCTCCCTCATTTTGATCAAGTTTGTACTTTTTTGTCAGGCATATAGATGTCTCTTTCGTTGGTGGCGAATGTGCCCTCCTATGACCAATGGGAGAACCAATAGGTGTGTGGACGATATTTGTGACGTGGATCATGTCTTCATTACGGAGCCAAGGGTGAGAGAGTGAATCGCGGGCTGTCATACGTTCACTGAAAGGAAAATACCAAGAATTAATTATGTAATGTGAGTGTATTGTTTTTATAAGAGGAAAGTATAAACATGTAGATAAACAACAAAAAATAGTTCCTCAATATACATGTATGTTTGTTATTTTCAAAAATGATCCTATATATTTTGGTTGTTGCTTCAGATTCAAACAAAAACCATGACCTGCAATGACCTCTATTGAGCAAAATGAGCATAAATCTTGTATTTGGAAGTGCTAAAGTGTAAGTGGTCATGATAGCGGAAATAATCGACTTCTCTTGCTTGATCTCATCCATTGACCAAAGTTCCTTAGCTTAACAGTGATTTCGAATATGACATAAGTGCTGTTATTCAATAACACATGTAGTATCAATGGACTTCAAAGTGATTTATTTATTATTAGGTCAATGATAGTGTATGAATGGTAAAGTCATACTCTTAGCTCTCAGCATTAATGGAATGCACACGAGATTATTGTAACATTTTATGACAGAAAGCCAACCCCTCGAAGACCCATTCACAGAAATCATTTCTCCCTCTTAGAATCATAGACTTGTAATTATCTAAGGTTGAAAGACAAGACAAAGTGCGTTTAGATAGTTATCAGTTAATTAAACTTGACCCGTTTGAAATTAAAACAAATAGACAACATCGGGTCAAACAATAACAAGTTTCATAAGATCAGAAGCCCCAAAGGATAACAGTCAAGTACTCATTGAATATTATATTATGTCAATACAAGGCATTAACTTGCAAAATGTCACCACCTGCCATTTGTTACAGACAATGAACACCGACTGCTGCCCACCAAATGACGAACACTATCCTCAAAAAGTTGGTGACTATAACAATATGTCACCACTTGTGATGGTGACATATTATGTTATTCAGTCGGGTTGAACCTAAATTGAACAATTTTCCATCTTAGAACCTCTGACCACAGTTCTAAAGAAGCAACACGAGTTCGGTGAAAATGTTTTAGTCCAGTTCAATAGGCTTCTTTCAATAATGGTATCAAAATTATTTTTCTAATCCAGTCGCATGATTTTTCAACATTTCGGTGAAAATGTTTTAGTCCAGTTCAATAGGTTTCTTTCAATAATGGTATCAAAATTATTTTTCTAATCCAGTCGCATGATTTTTCAACAATAAGCACGTTTTTGTAAACTTATCACCACCCTAATAATTTTGCCACCACCCATCAATTTTTATTCAAACTTTTTCACCACTCACTTTTGAAAAATTAGGGAGAACACTGATTTCACTGCTCTGGGAGTGTATCATTAATCATTACATATATTCAATATTTCTGTTTCATTCTATACTGCATGTTTACACAGGGCACACATTGTGAAATGTTTAAACTCTAACTGCATTTATCAGAGAAGGTCAAGAACTCAGTCTTGAGATATGAAGATTTCCACTTAAAAATATTTAAAAAAAGTTGACACCGAAATAATGAGCCTTGATTGGTATTCCAACTATGGAATATTCTCATGTAGTTGTCAGAAAATATTAATCATAAAAGATTAGAAATTTTACCTATGATCTATGATTCAATGAACTTTATTAATCATTTACTAAGAACTTACTCTTGGTCCAACACAAGGACTTTTTTGATGAAATCTTGTGCATTTTCTGATATGTTATCAAATAGTTCCTCTGGGAATTCTAAAGCATTCTGGGATATGTTACAAAATGTCTCTTGATTATTATCTCCTGCGTACGGCGAATGGGCTGTCAACATAACATACGCTAATACTCCAACACCCCTGTAAACAGAAACGAAATATATAATATACTTTTAAAGGACAATTTTGATATTTTAGTTTAAAATAGTTTATTTTATATATTCTCATAATATCTTTTCTCCATGCTAAATAATTCCATGTATGGTAAATAATGATAGCAGATATATTTCAAATAGACTAGATGCGAGTAGAAATAATCTTGATTTACGTCATTAAATATTCAAAATTCAGACAAAGTGATGTCATATTTGAAATCTGCATGTAAAAGTATATCTAGAAATATGGTTTCGCAAATTGATTATCAACTTTGAAAATTTAATTTTTTTTGAAAATGTGACTTCTTGTTCGGGTTGATTCCTCATAGACCCAATGTTACAAAGTCACAAAAAGTGAATTATCTTTTCTTCTATTGGACAGATAACATTTTCTTTTACTGGACATACTTTAATTTGCATAACGATTCGATACATAAGGGCTATATTAAAATTGAACTACTAAAACAGATGTAATTTAAGTTAAAGGGAACTTTCTACTATACCCGCCATGCTATCTGACCCGAGCGAGCCACCTGGTGGTGAAACTGGTAACTACCTACTCGCATTTGCGTTATTGTGCAATGTATTATTGGTGCATATATAGTATAGAGGGAATCCCCATAACATCATTTAGTTTATTGTTGATTCAGACATATAAATATCAGAGAAATAAATAAGGAAACACAAGTTTTTGATATAGATTTAAACTATTTTCCTCTACTGTAAGCGCAACATTGATCTATATTTGACTGTTAACTTCTACAAAGGTCAATAGTTACTAATTTCAAACTGCACTTACCACATGTCAGTAGAAGTCTTGATAGGCTCATAGCTCAGGATTTCTGGTGCTGAAAATAATAGAACCCAAATTATCTCATATGTTTAAAATGTGTAACTAAGATGCTTTTAACTTTCACTACTTCTCCAAATCATTTCTCTCTTCATTGAAATATGTCTAATAACAGTGCTAATGATATTACCCCAATAGTTATCCTATTATTTATCCGTATTATATTTAACCCCACTATATATTATAATATATTGTAATTAACCCCACTAGGGAGGACTGTCTTTTTCACATCAGCCCTTAGCGCAGAATTTCATTCTGTGTTTTCATTAACTTATAGAACTGATACTTATAACTTTTTCAAGCCTTTGGAAATCTTTTCTCGAGCACAGTAAAATAGTCAAATATATTGGAACTGGGCATATAGATATTGAGGGAGGGTCACAAGTAGACATAAGGGGGGGACAAGTAGGAAATCTTTTGGGGACCAAATAATTTGATACATATAGAGAGTGAACCTGAACAAAAGCTTTCTTCTCAAGTGAGAGATAGTCATCTCAAAGAATTTGTGACACAGCTAAAATGGGATCAAACTTACCAACATAATCTGGCGTGCCTATGATGTCACGTATATCTTCATCCATATTAACCAATCGTGCAAAGCCGAAATCACAAAGTTTTATATCACCTTCTGGGTGCTCTTTTGTCAGTAAAATATTCTGAGGCTGAAAATACACAAGAATTGACACATTAAGTCAGGGTGTTAACATTAGGTACATTTAACATTAGGTATTACATAAATTTAACATTAGGTATACTCAACATTAGATCGCTCATTTTACATAAGTTTAACATTAGGAATATTCAACATTAGGTCAGTCAAGGTACATTTAACATTAATTAGGTTAGTTTAACATGAGCTTTTACTACCAGAACATCCATTTTACGCTTGTCATATATGAGATGTGGCTCAGTATGCCATCTATCAGCACAAATTGCATATATGTTTGCACTGATTATATAATGATCTTATTAGGCTATTAGAATGGTAACATACACACACAATAACATGGAAAAAATTATACGTTTTTGAAAATATTCTCCAACTCTCCACGACAGCTCTGTGTTTGGAAGATATAAGAAATTATATGTCAATTTAACCTCAGTTTATGACTGCCTTCATTTAAACCAGAACTAATCTGTTGATTTCATTCTAGCTCATGGTTCTCTTCCAAATACCTAACTGACCCATAACAAGATAGAAATAGGAGTTTTATTCTTGGTTTAATCAAACAGCTGTGATTTAGTAGCAATATAGTTGGATTAGTATGCAAGGCACTCGCTCTAATTAATGTAATGCTGGATGTGAAGTACCTATGAATATACATGTTCAGGAACAGTTGACCAGTATACATGTTTGTATTTTACAATCAATGAGTTTTTCATGAGTCTAAAATCTATACATATACCATTTTTCAGTAGTTTGGTTTCACTCTTTATAAGAGAGCCTACTACGAGAGGTTGGGACTCCAGGCCCATAGCCAGCTTTTGCCAGGGGGTCACTTTTCAAAAACTCCAGGCACATTTGACTTCAGCCCAAAAACACTTGAAAAGTGCTCAGAATGGTGAAAAACTGCATGATTTTGAAAGAACCCCCTGAGTCCCCTCTCTCAATTAATTCAGTATTGGTTATTCAGGCTTTGACTTTTAATTCCGAAACTGAATCAAAATTTCATGGAAAACAACCTAGCAGTAAATTTCCATGTCTCAACTTTCACAGTTAATCACTATTAGATGCGTAATTAACTTGTAAATTATGCTTTGTGTTGAAAAAGATCTAATATTTACATCATTAAATCAACTGTGCCAAATGGCTGATCAAAAATATTTAGTGAAAATGAAGAAATATTGATACTTTCAGTGAAAATATCACAGATTGCAGAGATGGAATTACACCACAAATCATGAATGTAACATACTGCAGTAGTCATAAAACCTATTTGATAAATAAACAGAATTTATCAAATGTGCTCTCCTTCAGCACTCTAGCATTTCCCCCCCCCGCCACCTTCCTTTCTCTTTCAAACACAAATTGGAGTAACAGATAGTTTGAGGGAACCAAAGATATGCAGGTAAACCTGTAAAGTCGAACACCTTTAGAAGTGGAACACCTTTGTTAGTAGAACACTTTTCAGAGTCCCAAAACCAATTGACTTAATGTTAAATGGACCTCTATAAGTGGAACACCTCTCAAGTAGAACACTTTTTAGAGGTACCAAAGGTGTTCTACCACTAAGACAGGTTTTACGATAATATTTTAAGTACATTGGTTTAGTAGTACAATATATGGGGGAATTCTAGAAATATTCAATGATTGTCTAACTAAACATACTAATTAGTAAATAATTGGTAGAATACCTGTAAATAAATAATCATTTGTCCAAATAATCGAAGGTATTAATTCTATTTACAAAGCGTCTCATCCTTTCCCCGCAAGCATTCTTCAATTACAGATCATCCTGTGATAAATCCTCCCTTTCCAATAGTTTAAAAGAGAGCTTCATCTTATCTTCCAGGCTTTTCATCTCAGAGTATACATGAAACTCTCTTTTAGAGAAGTATCCAATCAAATTAATGCAAAGACCCATGATTATTATATATAAAATAAAACAAAAATATGTTCAGGCCTATTTAATTGCTCTTCTCTCTACAAATCTGAGTTTTTTAAGAAAGAAAGGTCTTGATATTTTTTTCTTTTACAAGAGTAATTGTTGAAATACATGTCTGTTTACTTTATTCCTTGATGATTGCATGCTTTTCAACCCTATTGCATTTCATGTTATGAGTTTTTTCGTATGGGCAATTAACGAAATCAGCTCCTTCTGGGAGTTTAGGGTGAAGTTTAGGGTGAATGGTTCAACAGATATTGATTCTTATTTGATAGCATCTTTAGTGTAAAGTGGGGTGAGATGAGTTATCTCCTTGGGGTTGTTATCACATTCTTGAGATTAAAATAATATTTTTTCTGTTTTAGAAACATGATCTGCAATTAATATCCTTACAAGACCTCGACAATTCAGATTCAATGCAATAACTAGGAAATTAGAAAGAATTCCTTTTCAGTCATTTTTAGTTCAAGAGGAAAAATATTAGTATCGCAAGATCCACTGGGGTCTGTGTTTGAATAGATTACTTGTATTTCTTCTGACCTGGTTATGCTATGCTATATAATCAAGACTGGGGCAAGAGGAAACCAAAAGGTAGAAAGAGAAGAACCAAAGAACAAGCTGACGACAATATTGTACCTTTTGTAGTTAGATAAAAAGAGGATATTAATCAGCATTTCGAGTACAGTATGTGCAAACATGAAAATGATGTTATAGGACAAACTGCCGAGTCAAATCATGCCTTATCAAATGTTCAAAGGGGTCCTTATGGAAATGAACTTATGGTATACAGGTTTTTGTATACCATACTTACAGTAGGTCGCATTGCCCAATGCTATGAAATACAATGACAAGTCAACAAAATTGGCTCATATATGCCATTGTTCAGAAAAACACATAAAAGCAACAAATAGTAAAAATGAAAAAGAAGAGAAAACACTGAAATACATGAACAACCTATAATTCCAACCAGAACAACGGCAACGCCAAAGCGTAGTGAATCCCATCGAACAGAAATAGCTGGCATAAGACAGTGTGCCATTATTCGAATACCAAATATGAACAAAATCGCTCCACTACTTTTCAAGTTACAGCAAAAATCGTAAAATAACGAGTAAAGGCCGAGTAAAATACGTTTAAATGGCGGCCATTTTTCAAATTCCATTTTTTGTCATCAGAAGAAGTAATATGCTTTTTTTATAGTATTCACATGGCAAATATGAACAAAATCGCTCCACTACTTTACGAGTTACAGTAAAATATTTTAAAATGGTGGCCATTTTTCAAAATGGCCGCCTTCTACCAAAAGTGTCATTAGACAGTGTGCCATGCTTATATTATTCACATACCAAATATGAACAAAATCGCTCCACTACTTTTCGAGTTATAGTAAAATACGTTAGAATGGCGGCCATTTTTCAAAATGGCCACCTTCTACCAAAAATGTCATTAGACAGTGTGCCATGCTTATAGTATTCACAAACCAAATATGAACAAAATCACTCCACTACTTTTTGAGTTAAAGGAATATTCCTTGCCAGACCCTTTCTCTCTTGATATGGTAGCTATAATCATATATATAGTTTCCATATTTAGCAAAACATGGAAAATGTTTTAATATGGTCAATATTGATCATTTAAGAATCGAGTGCTTATTTCCAGTGAGCTGCCATCTTTTAAGATTTCTTGCAGGAAGTGATGTCATCAACTCTCAACTTCTATAACCTTGCCCATAACAGTATAGGAAAGTAGCACAAAATCACTTCTAGACAAGTGATCATTACTTTCTGTGCAAAAATATTTTCAGGGCTTGTCAACTTAAAATAAAAGAAGAGATTTTCAGAAGGATTAAATAAGATACAAAGTTGAAAAAGAATATTTAGCTGGTTTTGTAATTCTTAATAGCTCCTCACCTAATGCTATATGCAAAGTTGAGAGTCGATGACATCACTTCCTGTGTGAAATTTTAAAAGATGGCAGCTTACTGGAATTGAGCATCACATTTCTAAGTGATCAAATTTGACCATATCAAAACATTTTTGTGTGTTTTGCTAAACATGGCAAGCATATATATGGTTATAGCTACCATATGAGGAGAGTGATGGTTTGGCAAGGAATATTCCTTTAAAGTATAATATGTTAAAATGGCGACCATTTTTCAAAATGGCGGCAAATTTTCAAAATGGCCTCCTCCTACCAAAAGTGTCATTAGACAGTGAGCCATGCTTATAGTATTCACATCCCAAATATGAACAAAATCGCTCCAATACTTCTTCAGTTACAGCAAAAATCGTAAAATAACGAGTAAAGGCCGCCATTTTTCAAGATGGCTGCCATGTGCTATTTTAGTTTCTACATTTCTAGCTTTATCAATGTCCTATATAATTTTTTTACATTTAAAACATAATGCTATCACAGTTTTACATATTGCACCTAAATTACTGTAAAATCGGCACTAAAATGGCCGCCATTTTTAAATGAGCGGCCATTTTGAAAATCGGCTTTTTAGCAGAACTTGTACCCCCATAGGGTATATGTGTACAAAATATGAACAAAATCGGGCCAACGGTATTTGAGTTATTGCCCGGATGGACGGACAGACGGACGGACGGACGGATGTACGTACGGACGTACGGACGGACGTACGGACGGATGGACGGACGGACGGAGGCGTTCCCTATATCCCTCCGAACTTCGTTCGATGGGATAATAATCTAAAGATATCCTCATTGTTTAAGTATGATGCTTTCATTATGATTGGCTACTAGAACCCCTTTTGTTCTTTGGCATATATACTTTGTGGTCGACCACGATTTTCTTCATCATGCATTTGCATTTAAAAATATCATTTGGCAAACTGCCTTTAAAATTCAGTTACATCCCATTTAAAAAATTGAGGGCCTCATAGCCATGATAAAATGTGAATTATTCGAACTATTTTTAAAATGTCAAAATCTGAAACTTTTCAGTTGTAACGTAATACAAATGGACCAAAAAACATCCTGTAGACCTAACATGTCTCAAAGTAAAACAACATATAACTGTGGAATTTTCATGAT